TGAAAATTTCATGTTCTCTGCTATGATTTCCAGGAGAGGTACAGAACAAAGCAACTGCTGGCACAGCAAGAAATCCTCTTTCCAACCCTCTTCAATTCCTTGCGGGCTACAATGCACCCCTTGATGGCAATAGGAGAAACTGGAGTGGAATCGCTTCTCTCCACACACACAGCAGGGCTTTCAAAAAGACTTAATTCTATCCACCATGATGATGATGACAATTTTTGATTTCTCCAAACATAGTGCTTTCATGACATTCCATGGCAATGTCAAAATGTAATATGTACAGTACAGCAGGGAATCAATGGCTCTATAGGAGAAGGTTATTGGGCATTATCACATATTACTTGTTCTGGTATCATTACACAGTACTTACAAAATAATCTTGAGTACATTTTCAGTACCATCATTATGTTGACATTTATTCTTGTGCTGTCATTTTGGACATTGTGCAATGGCCAGTATTGATTCATTTCCTATGGATTTTTACATCATTTCATTTAAAATCATCAACTCTCATTAGCTGGACCTTATAGGATGGGAACATTTCAGAATGTCCTCATGTTTTATCTCATTTGTTCAGCTCATTGTTTCATCCATGCCATGCATGTCTTAGGTTTTTGCTGCTTCTCATTTTCTAGGGTGGATGAAGAAGAAAGAAAAAGAGAAACTTTGATAGCAAAACTTGCACTTGTCCTGTGATATTGCTCTTGTCTCTTATTAGACTTTGTCTTCTTAAAAATATATGTCTCCCAGAGTGGTTGTTTGCAAAGCGTTTCCTTTAATCAGCTATTTAATTGTCCATTTCTTGGAGTTCACTTCTCAGCCAGCCAGTTCAATATCATGGGAGTGAAGTATGTGATAATAACATCAGCACCTGAAAAAGAGTATGTTATGATGAAATGAGCACATGGAACATCATATACATAGGGGCATCTCCTCTACTGTCATGGACAACGTTCACAAAAATATGTAAAGCATGTAGCCAAAACGCCGGAGGTGCGATGGTTTTCCCATTAAAAATCATGTGGTTTGAAAAAGAAACATACCGATTGTACAGGGTGAGTCAAAAGTCCTGCCCACCTTTTAAACGTTAACTTAACGCTTGATCTCACGGAGGTGCAGTTTTCACTATTCGAAATGCAAGACAATTATATATATGTGCAACGATTTTTGCATTATTTTTCCAATGGTATCCTTCGGAAATGAATTTCCTATTATTGCGTCATATAAATGCATTGGCATATAAAAACATGCGTGCAGCACGGTGTCTAATTTTCTGTTCGACTGTCGGGGTGTCCAGATTGAGAAGGTCTGCTACGTTTCCTGTCCTGCTAACATTTGAGTTGAAACGTGCGAACAACTTGTGGCTGACAGTTTCTCCGATGAATTTCGTCCTGAGTTGTCTAGCGGTTTCCGTCACATTCGGAGTAAAGCCGAACTTTTGAAAATCGTTCATCAATGGTCAATCGTTTATCGCCACTTGTCTCAATTCTCGATGAATTGGAATCGATCCCAGCCAAGACAATAACTCACACTCGAACAGATGATCGGATGTGGTGCCGCAAGCGTGTTTTCACATGCCTTTGTATAACCACCAGATTAGGAATTTAATTTCCGAATGACACCATTAGCAAAAAAATTGCAAAAACCCTCCATTCGATACAGAATGGTCTATTCTTTCGAATGATGAAAACAGTATCTCGATGAGATCAAGCGTTGAGAAGTTATCCACGTTCAAAGGGTGGGCAGGACTTTTGACTCACCCTGTATATATTTTTTGACGAAGTACACCATTCCAAGAAAAAACAGCGCTCTCCCCGAGCTTGAGTGGATATTGCCCTCTCTTTCCTCATTCATCGCTCGAAGTTCCGTGCACCGATCACGACGATTTTCTTATGGTTGGAAGGTCTCTTAGTTCCCCTTGAATTAGGATATGAATTGTATAGGAGTATCGATAGGACGATTGAGGAAAGATGGAAGTGATCGTCCCGTCCGTTACCCCTCCACTGCTGTTTTTTTTTTAATGGTGTATTTATGCCATATGTAGATATATACTGAGTGACCCTGCAGACAAAGCGCCACTGAATATATCAGAAAATATACAAAGTCCCAGATCCAATATGTGAAGATATTAGGTCTGGGAAAAAGTATCCGGAACTTTTCGACTCATATCTTTGACCCCCTGTAACTTTTCATGCAGCAAACATTATCAATCAAAATAATCTCCCTCACAATCTATAACTTTTTCCCATCTTTCCTTAAGAGAATCGATTCCTCTCTCCCAAAACACCGCATCCCGTGAGCCAAAGAAACCACCAAGTGCGTTTTTGAGTGCACCTTCGTTCGGGAACTGCTTCTTGCACATGAAGTTGTCCAGCGACCTGAATAGGTAGTAGTCCGATGGTGCAANTGCCCTTTTGTTGTTTTCGAAGCATCATTTCCCCATGGAAAATGAAATTAGCTGTCGTCCATGTAGACTTAGGATGCCGCCTCCAGTCCAACAGAGTTTCCGGATATCGTGCTGGAGTTATGTCGGAATCTTTATGATGCATTACGTGCAGAGTTTATGGGAAGATGTGAGATTCAAACGGTGGTTAACCATGGCCGATCGACATGGACATATGATGCAAGGTCATCCCCGAATCAACAGTATGGCCAACAACACGAATTTGAATTTCGGAGGCAGTCGGACCAAATGGATATCCGAATCGAGATTGTTCGAGAAACAAAGCTGACAGCGAATCGAACTGGGGAAGTAAGCAATGACGGATGTGGTCGTCGAGCCGCATTTTTCAATCGAGCCGGAAAACTTTTGCCTGAAAGCTATACACGGCATATACAAAATTTTACAGATCTTTTCAGCGTCTTTTTTTTCATATATAACATAGCCACAGAACAAGCTTAGGCGGCGCGGCACGAACCCCTCAAGCTTAACCCACAAAAAGTTCCGGATACTTTTTCCCAAACCTAATAGTTTTCCCAATAAATCAATAAAATTGATTGTTCAGGACCTGAATGTCAAATTAGTGAGTGAGTGTGTGCACACATCGGATGCTTCCTTCGTTTACGGTGGGACTTAGCTCAGTTGAACAGGCGAACTCTCGATTTTTTTGAATCGCAGGAAAATAAAAGTTTTACTCATGCTCTAAACAACCATTTTCATTGATATTTTCGGAAAACTAGTACATGTTGGCTGTAACGTCATGTGACATAAAAAATTTTCAAGAGTGTAGATGGAACACTAAAAGAGGCAACAGGAAATTTTAAGGGTTTCGCATCCAACAAATGGGTCGTTTCCCTTTAAATTTCGATTAAACGTGTCGGTAAGAACCCGAGTAACATTATTTTTCGGTCTTTGTGTTTAATTTTGCCTGCTCTGTTGAACTGGAGTAAGGCAAGTCGTATAATGCGCGGGGCAAGCATCCAGGGTGAACACACTGTCACAATCGCTAATTTGGCATCGCGCAGAAAAAAAATTGTCACTCTGATTCTGAACGACCAATTCAATTGAAACTTTCGTGAATGTCGCCCAGGGAAGACTGGTAAAAAAAAATGCAATGGTAGAGGAGGGTGGGGCACCATGGGTCACTTTTTTTGGGTCTGTAACTTAAGCTTTTTTTTTTTCTCCGAAGCAATGGAGGGCGCTGCGTGTAAAGGCTCACATCACCTGCGCAATCCTATGTTTCTAAGTTCTCAACCTCCAAGTTTCGAGGGAGTCATTTTAAAATGGGGCACCATGGGTCGGAGGTACGTTGCGTCGTTCCCATAATCATCGCTAAAATTAAGTTCAGTTGGCTAAAAGTCATCATAAAAAAGTGTTCGTACCACAAGAGGAGAATTTCTTGAATACTGATAGCCCACACTTCACAGTTATTTGGACAAGAAGATCCTTGGATCAGAAAGTAATGACAGCAACAGATTCGTTTCACGTCCAAGCGTATCACATCTGCTGGCGTTGAACCCTTTAAAATCTTGCGCATTATTAGATCAGGGAAAAAAAAACTGCAAAGGAAATCATGATCTGCTTTGACAAGTCTCAGGGAACATTTGGTGCACTAAGAGTTACGACCCATCGTACCCGACACGAACCATAAATATTAAATCAGGATTATAACCATAGTAAGTTACGATTGTAGCTCATACGCGCAGGCATTGAACAACCGATCTCACGAATCCAATCCCAGCAAGAATACTTTTCATCGAAAGAAACAAACGGGGGAAATCACACTATGATCAGTAGTTCTGTGAATCTGGCCACGTATTTCTCTCTCGTTCTGATCTTATCATTGCATATTATGTATATATCTTGAAGCTTTAAAAAATTATGTTAATTTATCGACTATGAAGCAATGCTTGGATCATTTTGCTATGAATCCCCACAAACACATGAATCTTGAGAAATAAGGTTTTTCGAACCGCTCAATTTCTTGACTAAGTTTCTCTTGGTTATCATTTAGTGAAAGATATTCAGGGTGTCCATGAAGTTCCTTTACAACTTCAAACCTAAATTAAAATTTAACAAAAAGACTTACAGTTAAACGGTTTATTGCATCATAAAGTCCATCTCTTAAAGTTTTTATTGGCATGCATTTTTGTATTTATTTACTTCACTTTTTAATTTTCAGTTTTAGGTGAAGTGAAATGAAAATTCCGTGGCCCCCACATTCACTGGACATAATCCCCTTGGATTTCTTCCTATGGGATTATGCGGAAGAGTACCGTACAAAAGTGAACAGTATTGAGGACTTGAAGAACAGCATTTCGGCTGTTATCGACACCGTAGATGTCGAAATGTTAACCCGAACATGGAGAGAAATCGAATATCAACTTGATGTCCTGCGTGCAACGAGAGGCGCCCACATACAGTTGCACTAATTTTTGTGTGCTTATTGCAAATAAAAGTTTGAGAGATGGACTTCATGATGCAGTAAACCGTTTAACTGTAATGCTTTTCGTTAAATTTTTATTTAGGTTTGAAGTTGTAAAGAAACTTTATAGATCCCCTGTACAACAATACTCTCTTTTCCTCTATATCTAGCAACTGCTAAGTCGTGGAGAACCGAACCTCATGTGCTCAGTGCAAAGAATGGGCATATGACAAAAGTAAGGTGATTCGAAACAATTGCTCCCCATCTGCAGTCTGAACCAGAAAATCTACGGGAACAGTAATTAGGGGAGCTGGGAGAAAAAGGAGACAGATAATTCGAAGGTTGAGTTTAAGCATAAATTTTTGCCATGGCATGGCAGAAAAAAAGACTGCTGACTTCAATCTAAATATCTCCGCTCACCCTGGAGCTATATTCGTGAGACTTTCACTAAACATGCACGAGTATATTTCCAAATTATTCTCATTTTCATTTGGATTTACTCGGCCGAAACAATACTATCAGCAAATATTGAAAAGAAGTTAGAAATTTAGAACGGACAAGAGCTCCTGCTTGTTGTGGAAGGAAGGAAACAATGTACCTTCGTCTGGTTATCAAGATCAGGTCAAACTCCTTTTACATTAATTTCATTCGGACTTTTCGGAAAATGTTGGTTATGAATTATGATTTCGACTTTTATTCAAGGAATTTGGAAAAAACTTACCCGGTGTGAAAGAAAATAAGACGTGCCATATTATAACCAAATTTGGCAAGATATGGCCAAGGAAAGGAGTCCTTGCACGCAGACACTCGAAGTCATTAGTTTTCTTTGCCATGCCCTTTAGTCCTCGTCTGCCACATTCTCCATAAACCAAGGGAAATACTGAATGAACTTTGGGAAAATTCTCTTGATCGATACTCATTGATTCATCTGCTATTAATTGGGGAAAAAGCTCATGAAAACCATCTGCAAGAGACGGTCCGCTCGAATGTTTCCTCCTCTCCACTGCCAGCTCCTGCTGGCAGTGGAGAGGAGGAAACATTCTAACATACTCATGTATGCATCGCGAAAGTTTCGCGGAAATAGCTCCAGCGTGAGCGAAGATATCTAGGTTAAAAGTCGTTGGTCTTTTCTTTGCCACATCTTGTAGTCGGGGTTCAAAATTCACCATCGGATCTTTCAAAGGTTCAACTCAAAAGCAGTAAGCTATTTGGTTTTTTTTTTTTTACCACTGGCATTCCACTTTTTCATCCACTTTTACTACGAACTATTATGGCTTCAGGAAATATTATATTAGAACCAAACCTTTGGCTGCTCCAGCCGTGATATTTAAAGCACAAATATTTAGCCAAAAAATTAAATTGATACTCGACCCTCGTATTATCTGGCTTATTTTCATCCCGCGCTCCATTAGCTACTGTTGGCATCTCAAGTGACTCTTTTACCCCACTTGGGGTAATAGGAGCCGCTTCTATTAATCTTCATTTGGACTCTTCTGATAATTTCGAGATGAAACGACCATGCTATAAGAATGTTCCTTTCGCATCCTGCAGTGCATGCGACAAAAAAAATTTGCTTCAGCAAGCGCTGATCAAATATTTTTTTTTAAGAAACAAATATGGACTATTTTAAGTTTTCAGCATGTGCAAGATTGTCCTGCTTTGAAAAACAAAGTTTTCAATAATAGACCGCTCAATTATTTTGGCTTTTTAACCGTAAAATTAGCTTCAGTAAGCTTCTGTGCAAAGCTAACGCTAACTGCTATCCTTTCAACTAAATTCGACTCGGAATCAACCTTCAACTTGCACCAATATGGCGCTCATCGGGGGTTATAATAGGAGAAAGTAGCGGGATTTTTGCCTTGCTGAGGAGGAATGTCTATTGAAAAGCGAAGGAGTTTTGGGGCATTTCACAGAGTTGAATACCCGACTGGGTTAATTATAAAATATTTGAGCATCAGGTGCTGCCAAATTTTTAGAGGCCAGTATTTTGTAGGTGAGATAGCGAGCCTATTCTTTCCGTGAGCTCTACAATATCCTTCACAGAGTCTGCAATATCTGCTCACTATCAAGCTAAGGTCTATACAAGATTTATTTTGGCGAAATCCATTGCGTTTCTGATTGGTTGGAGTAGCAGTGAACTGCTTTTACTTGAACTTTTAAGAGGGCTTATTGCTCCTTAAAAGGCTTCGGTCCTTTTTTTGAGGAGTCCCACTCAAAATTTTGCCAGATTTTGTACTTATTGCGACACATTTTCAGATTATAAAGTAGAACGTAGAGACAGACCAGCTCTCCGCATGGCAATGAGAGTCTCCCAGAGCCCAGCTCTTAGATCCACGGCCCCATTCGCTGCTCCGTGGTGCAACATGGCACATTCCCCTGATGTCTGAAAGGAAGAAAATGTCATCACCCTCACCTGAAACCTTTTTCCTCGCATACCCAAGAACTAGGTAACACGCATCGAAAGCACATTCGGTGAATACGATCATGGAACTGAAGGCTAGAGAAGTCGCACATGATAGATGAAGAGGGGATGATTCGGGAACCTATCCTTCGTGAGGCGGACGATGTCCAAGTAAGTGAGGCCAGGCTTCACCATCAGCATGTCCGCTCCCTCCTCCACGTCTCTCGCCTTTAACGACCAGCCGATGGAGTCATCACGCGGATCCGTGGAAAGCCACGTAGCCGATGGAATGCGATGGAACTCACGGCAGCACGCATGGCGAGGCTGGAGCTTCCAGGCGGGATTTGATAAGACTTTCGATCGCCGGCTTTGGGGGCGCAATCGGCTGCATGTCTGAAAGGCCCGTAAAAGACGGAGGCGAACTTGATGGAGTAGGAGAGGACGGCACAGGTGTCTCCAAAGCCCGCTTCACGAAGTGCGGCCTTCAAGTAAGCCACCGTCCCATCTTGCATCGCCGATGGGCCCACTATCTGGGCTCCTTCCGGATGCGAGAGGAAGAAGAAAAAAGTTATTCGGGGATCTTGTGCTCTTCTTGTGAGTCTTCGGCGAAATATTTTTTCGAACCGGCTTTGGCATAGGCGACGGCCTGCCTGGCTAGCCTGAGATTGGAAGCGACGGAATCCAGAGTGCCATCAGATTTGAAGATGCAGCAATGGCCAGTGGAAGTGTAGGAACAGATGCAGACGTCACAAGCGACTAATAGATCGGGGTAATTCCCTCGAATGACTTCCAACGCTTGGACGACGGGGGAATCCTTTCCATCTGCGCCCGATCCCACCTCATCCTGCGATAAACCATCCCCACGTCCACATTAGTAAATAGTACTCGTATATTAACAGAGGTATAGGTTTTAGAAAGTAGGAGACCCACGACCCTTATCATCGGGCTCCATCCGTAACGTGCGATACGAATCTAAACCTCATAAAGAACAAAGAATGATTCCTGGCCAACTTGAAAGCAGGATGATGACTCATTGATCTGGAATTCGATAAATGAATGAGTGACGCCCCTCTTATACATATCAATCAATGACGAATAATTAAGTGAAACATATGGCAATTTATAAACTGACTGAAAGACTCAGGATTACCTCAAAATGATTGCTTCCAGGAACTGAAATGGAGTCCAAAAGCAACGAGTCGAAGGGTGTAACGTCTGCTGCTGCCTGACACTTCATGTTTCTTTTTTTCTTAACTTTTTTTTTACGCTTTCATAGAGGGAGCAATAAATTTCACCTCTCGCTCTATATAACACGAGAAGAAACTCAAATATCTTCAGCAAAATTTCGTTTTTCTTTTACCGTAACATTTGTTAATATGGAAAGATCAAAGCAAGGAATGTGCTACGAATTTCACTAATCCATGCAAAAAAAATTCTCCTTCGATATATCCACGTGGAAGATCGAACATGAGATATGAGAAAAAAAGACTGAAGTGACTCCTGGCTGACCTTGGGCGTTTTCTTGGGAACGCCAAAGAGTATGATGGAAGATAAGCCGTTTTTAACGAGGGGAGTGAGGAACTCAGTGATTCTCTTCACGCCCCACTGTTTGACGCCTGGGAAGCCTGCCACGTCTTCCACCAGCTCCTCCATGTCCCTGCATGAAAAATGATTTTTTTTTTTCATTGCCTCGTCATTCGCAGTTTGTCGTTGCGCTGCGTATTCTTCTTAATATCTTGGATAGGAATGGCGCGAGGAATTAAGAGTTTGCTTACTTCAGCTTCATCGCTGGGTGTCAACATCCTGTATTTGCTGTGCGGTGTCGAAGTTAACCTCAATTTCTATTCTATCTTTACAGCAATGTGTAGGACCGATCGAATCATGTTTTCGAAGGCCATCAAATTTCGTCGATGGAAGATAATATTTCTAGAATGGGGGGAAAATCTACTGCCACTGTAGAGTGAACTTCATTCGTCGACATCCCCCGTAACTATGAAGTGCACAGCAATGATACAATTTCTGAAAATCCCATTTTCTGATGAAGGGATTTTCTTCATCAAAGGCCTCCATTTCCTCGGGCGATTTCTTTGTGGGCTTTTTTCGTTCGGCTTTGTAGTAAAATTAGGAAAGGGGTGGGGCGTGTTTTTCGGGAGACGTCCGAGGGGTTTGGTCCTAGAAATCCTCCGCTGGCTACACCCCTGATAGGAGTCACGCATTATCTCATGCTATCTAAGGACCTGGACTTTTCCTGTGGAAGAGCATGCCCACTCTTGCTTCCTTCCCTCCAATATTCCTTCCTCATTTTTAAATTATGACTTCATGCTAAGTATTTAAAAAATGCCTGATTTAGAAACGAAATAAGTGGTCGAGATGCAAAATATACAGGGCGGATCAAAGAAAAGGACAATTTTCAACGTTACACTACACTTCACGCATTGCACATATTTTAATGCGGTTTACAGCATTTGAAAGAGGAATGAATACGCTTTAAAATGATTTTTCCCTTTCAAATATCTTTATCAGTTTCAGAACTTTGGGAGCTCATTTGAACAGCCAACAAAAACTGTGTTGCCGCATTCTCAGAGGGAGACGGCATATGACCTTCAGTCATGAAGGCCGCCGCCTGTCCATCCCTGTCTTGTCTTGCAGCAACGTAATTTTTGCTTGATGTTTATATGAGCTCCCTATTTTTGAAACTGTTGAAGATATTTGCAATGTAAATACACCATTGTAAAGATTATTTATTCCATTTCAAATGCAGCACACCGCATTAAAATATATGCTGTGAGTGCAGTATAGTGTACCGTTGAAAACTGTTCGTTTTTTTTTGTGGCCCACCCTGTAGTTACGTTTTCTCGATTGAGATGATAACATGAAGTCGCTTTTAGGTGAAGGGCATGTAAGACTTTAACTTTCTTTTTTTTGGACACTCGGAAGGTCCATTCTTCGGGGAGAAGTCGTCGCTGCAGAAGGCTGGGAATTTGAATATGATTTGAGAATCCCCTCCTCTCAAGAATTTTAAACCCGTGATGGAAACATCCTCAGTGTGGACTCACGTGACGAAGACAGGAAGCATGAGATTGGAGGGAGTGATCAGAGAGGGGAGAGACTGCCATTCCCGTAGAACAGGATGGAAATAACCACTTCGCAATACGTGATGTTGAGGAATGGTAGGGAACGTAGCTGATGTGGATGCTTCCATGATGCTTATGTACGAGAAGGGGAGTACAAGACGAGACGAGGCGTGAGTGGCACTTCAACATGCACTGGGGCGGACTGGACTGCTGTTAACTCAGGTTTCTGTGCCTCTCATTTCCTTCTTAACACTGGACCCTCCCAACTCAACGAAGGGGAGGGGGAGGGCATGAAGCGTCTTGCCCCTGCCCTGCACTGCCCTGCCCTACATTGGTCCATAGATGGTTCATCCTGTCTTGTGGGATATCTTAGAGAGGCAGAGAAGATTCACAAATCCCAAGTCGGGGACCCAAGAGCCTTGGATTAGCATCGTTGAAGAAACTTGATAGTTTTGAGTGTGTACCATACCAAAAAGAAAATCATCCAAATAATGATGGACTCCTACGTTGGGTGTGACAAAAGTCAAGAATTCTTTGATTACAGTGTATTATTTCCTGTTAAAACTTTTTAAAATTCACCCACCTATCTGTTACGATACTGTAATGCCAGAATTGTTTTTATGACAAAATCTGGTCGAAGTGACTCAGAGTGACTCAAAATGGCTCTAGTTAAGTCAATGTGTAACTTTTGGTCAGTGTGAGTCACTCTGGGTCACTTGTGATTAAGGAAAACTTTGGTTGTGCTGTATCATATCAGGTAGGTGGCGAACTCCAAACAGTCTAGCTTGAAAATAACCTATACCCTAAAATCCTACGATCCCTGGCTTTTATTACACCCTGTATATTGAGAATAGTGGATACCCAGTTTAAAATCCCGGCTGGAAACAGCTATAATTTCCAGCTGGACTCCAGCTGGAAATTCGGACCCATTCCAACTGGGTAACAGCTGGAAAGCAGTCATTTGCAAATTTCTTCCTAGTTGCTATATCACTAGCTGAATGAGAATCTTTTTGTTGACTATTTTTGTCAGAGGTCCATCTACAGGAACAGCTGATTTTCAACTTTAAATTTAGCTACATTCCAGCTGTAGGGTCCCCTTGATAAAATTCCAACTGGAAATTTCCAGCTGGAAACAGCTATTCAAATCAGCTGCATTCCAGTTGGAAAATTCCAGCTAAGAAACAACTGGTACCTACTATTTTTCAGCTCTTTTCCAGCTGGAAATGGTCCGAATTTACAGATTTGGTCCAGCTGGAATATTCCAGCTGGGATTTTAAACTGGGTATAATCTGATTAAAGCTTTAGTAGACCGACGTACATTACAGAGGCTATTTGATTTTTCCACTTCTGACTTTATTCAAGTCTACGATGAGGATTTTTTCCATCCTGTAGTAAGCTTAGAAAATGTCAGACGGAATCAGAGAAAAAAGAAACTCATGTTGACACCCTTGATGGTGCACTTAGTCCTATGGCGACTACGCTGTCAAAAAAGAAACGGAAGAATTCTCTGGATGAACAAGTTTGACCCATTCGTTCACGATTTTTTTTCACGTCCGCTTTATTTTTAAGGATTTGTTTCCGTAAGACATTCAAGAACTGACTATTATCCTCTTATCTAGTTGTTGGTTGCCATGACGATATCAGCTGCGATTGGTTGCCATAGTTACCACTGTGACAATGTGTTTGGGTCAATACCCCACCTCTGGACCTTTGTCTCGTTAATGCATATGTATGACCATTAATGGTCGTATTCATCAACGAGGCACCGCAGTAATTGAGCACATGCTTAATTGATTCAAAACTGGCTTCAATCACGTTATTGCCACAGTTAGTCCCTGAAAGAAGAGGTTGAATTTCAACAGGGGCAATAAACTGCGTTAAGTCACTTCTCAGCCGCCAATGAATAGTATACTGTACATACTTGGAGGTTCGGAAAGTTTGAATTTCTATTCTTTCTTATTTTTGACGAATGCAGTCATTCAAATAGACAACAATTTAGAGTTTTCACCAGCAGGTCTTATCTTATCACTAATTGATGATCCCATCATAATTCAATTTGCCTATGACAAAGGTGTTTCAATACCTAATGATGAGGCACGATAGTGCTTCTCAGTAAGAATAGTAGTCCAATATATCCCGTTCCTGTACAACTTCTCCCTCCCCTCTCCCTCGCAAGTTTTCGAAGGACTGAAGGAGATGATAGGGGAGGGTGGGGCACGATGGACCACCTCCTCCAGCACCTCATCAATACAAGATGCCGTCACGAAAGGAATCAACTCGTAGTTGACAAGTTGCAGATCAGAGACAGTTGCATCTTCTTCCATTAGAGTTCGTATAGGATTGAGCCCCCATATCCGCGACACAGACCGCTGACATTGGTACTGTGTACACCCTTCAGTAGAAGGTGTCGGGAACTTCTATAAATGTGAATCCGTCTACAGTGTTTTGCAAATGAATTCGTACCACCTTTAACATGGAGCCCATCCTTTTCTATGGAGTTCTCCCAACATGGACGGCTGCGCTTCCGTCGCTGCGCCTAGGCTAAATTCAACACATATAGAGCGAACTACAGAAGATTTGAGAACTTAGAGAGAGAGGATAGGAACATAAGAGCGAGCCAAGAACAAAGTATAAAGGACTCTTTTCTTTTTTCCTTTTGCGATAAAAATGATGAGTTGGAAAGACAGGTTTTGTTACTCTGATTTTCTGAAGCTCTGGAAATCAGTGTACGACTGCCAAGCCTGGTGCTTGGAAACGATCCTGTGCTCAATGACTCGTCTATCCTTTCATACACTCTTAGAAAAAAGTGAGCGATATCCGAGAAAGGGAACGAAACGGGAGTTAGCGGTTTTGTTCCCTAAAAACGAGGAAGTGCAATCGATGACTACTCCTTTATTATAAGAGCAAAATCCATATATTTTTTAAGAGCGCGAAACAAATGAGGGAAAGTATTTTTCAAACTAGTGGAAAAAGTTAGTGGTTGTTCTCAAAAAAGAGAGAGATGAGCGGCATTACTTCCTTGTTTTTAGAGTGTAAAGCCGCTAACTCCTGTTTCGCTCCCTTTCTCGGAAATCGCTCACTCTTTTCTAAGAGTGTGTGGACCGTGTGACGTCATCTTCGCTGTACATTTCCCAAGCGACTGACCTACTGATGCGATGTGGCTGGCTGAATCGGGAGGGAGACATCTAACATTCGGAATGAAAACAATAATTGGACGTCCTCTGTCGCCGCATTGGATGATCCATAGAGTTACCATGCGCAATATTAAAGGTGGTACGCATTTATTTGCAAAACACTGTACTAGAAAGGAAATACATTTTGCTTACTAACGCTGAAAAATGTATCTTTGTGACACCTGTACGTGTATTTGTAGAGGTTCTCCGACACCAGTGTATTAGTGGGTTCTTAGCATCTCTCTCTCGTACCACATCCGCAGGAATGGCTCGGCCATCGTTCGCATTATTCTCTTGTCGGTTCAGGTAAGAGAGTGGATTAAAAAGAAGAATGCCCGAATCCCGAGAAGAAAGGAATCAGCGGGGAAAACTACGTGATTGGCCTTCCCTCTATGATGCCAGCATTTCTCAAACGCTTAATACAAAAAATGTTCTGTTTCCGCTGATTTTCTCCTCGCCGTTTCTTTGTAGCCTCATCGTATTGGTCATACTTCTTTGTCATAGTACTCTAAAATCCGAAATCCTACTTGTTTAGAGGGGGGCATGCTTATCATGAATACGCAGAGGATGCGAGGAACATGCATTTTATTTCATCCGTTTTTTTTCCATCATAACATTGGTATTGACCACACTTCTTTGCAGAATCTACCCTGCAAGTTTATCTTTGTCTTTTGACCCTATCATTTGTGTGTGAAATTCAACACGTGCTTCGAAGTGATATAGAGAATACACACAAGGTTGGACTTCTATAAATATATATATATATATATATATATATATATATATATATATACCACTACATTATAATACTGTCCAAATCAGAAATAAAAAATGCCCTAATCGCAATATTGCCAAACTCAGCATTCAAAGGAAGAAATAATATGCTGTGCACAGTAGACCCGCGAAGAAAGAGATGTCTTCTCTGAAAAAGGCAAGAAGTTATCACAGATTCAAATACAACCTGACATTCTTGACAGGCGTGACTTGGTGGGGAGTCAGGAGGGTGGAGGTCCCTCTTCACATTGTATCGTGATTGCAAAATCATACAATCTAATGAAAAGCTAAGCCTTCTTTATGTTCCCAGAGTTGGGATAGAATATAATTGTACGTAGCTCACGGGAGTCTGAGACAGTGATAAGTCCCTTTCTCTACCAGCCACTGTTCGTGGGGATGAGTCCCTTTCTGCTGCTTTCTCTAAGGGTCTTGATGGAAAAGAGCAAAATATTCTCCATCGGCTTCTCGAACCTTGAACCTTGAACCTTCTCGAATTTTTTGGAGATACTTTTTCAGAGAATCAAATAGGAATGGCTGAAAGGACAAAAAGTGCGATGATCCCTTTCCCTTCTCCCCCCCCCCCTCCCCCCCTCCACCCGAAGTTTGGCTCAAGTTATGCCTGACTGTTGACATGCAAGGTAAGAAACAAGCTCTTCAAAATACATTTCAGGATATAGGGTTGGGAGATTTCACGCCAAAAAAATAGAATCATGTATGGATCATGCATGATTCCAGGATGATAGAATCATTCAAATGTAATGATTTTGAAGAATCATTCCAAGAGTATCCACCATTCCATGTCCATGCATGAAGTGGGAAATGGTAGGAGTACATGATTGAGGCCGCTCTGGTGGAGCATTCTGGCCTTGTCGTCAAGGAAAACATTTAAGGCAAGGAAAGATAAAGAAAAATTCAGTCAGCACAGCGATAGTTGCCAGCACTTCGCTGTTCCTCCTCCATGTCTCGTTCTTTTTCTTTCTCCAAAGGAAGGAAAAAAAAATTGAGTTAGAAGTGGGGGAAAAAACAGGGTTGAGGCACTGAAGATGGTAGCTCCAAGGATACAGTATCACAAGTGCTAGATACAGATTTGGATTTGCAGAGACGATCGGGACGGTGATGATCAGTGGGAGCATGCAACGATGCATGCGAACACCACGGCCAGCAGCTGAAATAGTCAAATGTGCATGGGCAGATAGAGAGAAAAGCTCCCATTATCGCAACTGCGAATGAAAAAGGCGATGGAAGGGAGAAGGCAAGAGCAAGGGGTTTCGTACCAGGGCAGCGGCGAAAGAGAGGGCGATGATGCCGATGACTTTGGAATGGGACTCCATTTCGTCGACGAGGAAAATGCAGCCTTTGGTGTATGGGTTCGCCTGTAGCAGGGGGCTTGTGCAAGACGTCTGCACATCAACGAATACATACATGATCGTTGGCATCGTTACTCATACTTCTTCATACATTACACCGCCCTGGGACGGTCTAAATTGGATTTAAAAACCACGAAGTTTCACTTCAAGTTATTGCTTTTTTAAAAATCTCATTGGTGCGGTATTCTCCCCCTTCTCACCCCATTGAAATTAACCTGATCGGGGAGAATCTGCGTGGTACTCAACTTTCAACTTCTCAAAGGTCGGTGCAAAGGTGAAACATGATCCAAATGCAATCCTTTCTGATTGCACAGCTGAAACTTGCAAAGACGTCCTAAGTGAGTCTGAGGTTACCTTCCTCGACTGTCATGCCACTGCAAGCCATGTGGTAAACTCGTGGAGAGATTGTATTAAGTCATACGTAACGGCCGAAAATACGAACCGAATTGCGTACTTTCTCTTCTCTGGCAGATACATTATAATATAGCAGTTAAAATAGCAAAATAGAAGTTAATTAGAGCGGGAAACCTATGGTGATGATGAAGGAGGGGTTATCTTCTTACCTGAGAAGTGGTCGAGTTGCAGCAGCTCTGGGGAATTTGTTTGTAGGTGCTGTTTTTAATCCAATCTCCGGGTCCCCACACGCCACAGCATTTCAGCTAAGGTTCAGAGGGATAAAAGGGAAAACTTGCGATCATATACAAACTCACATCAATCATACTCAAACAGTAGAAATGTACGAACATTCTTCTGGAGTTCATCCCAAGCCTTCGTTTCGTCACCGCTGCTATTATATTTATCTTTGAGACTCTTGTTGAGGGCATCGGTGACCCATTCCCTGACCTTGCCCTTGAAGAACATGACGAGGATCCCTCCGGCCAGCATGAGCGCAAACACGATCAGCGTGAACACCGCATACTGAACGGAACGTGTCGAAAAACGCCGATATCGAAACGGGAAAATCAGAGGGGAAAGAAGAAAAGGGAGAAACGTACGGTGAGGAGCATGCATTTGCTCTCCCTGATGGCTCCACAGCATCCGAAGAAGGCGAAGATGACGATGGTGAATCCAAAGACGATGAAGATGATGGATGCGACCTTGAAGCCGGATGGATCCACTCCCAGGTTTGCGAAGTTGTAGAATTTGGCGTCCGCCATTCCGATGATCCCCAGGATCCCCACTGCCAGTCCCCCAATCTATTCCGTTTCCCCACCGATGAAATCATTTCCTCTCTCGTCGCAATTGCCGACTCGATCTCGCGCGAAAGGAACCTTCGGGACTCACCAAGACGAGGAGGTTGAAGAAGAAGAGGACATATTTAATGCATGACGTCACGCCGCTCGTCGCTCCTGAACCCATCTTTCTGTTTCCTGGTTTTCTCACTTTTTGATTCAACGCGAGATCAGATCTTCCCAACAGTCTGATCTATCTGTAAAACAACTAATGGACGATTCGTAAACGTTAAAAATAAAAAATACTCGTACAAACGAGTCTCGTCAAAGTTAAATGGAAACTTTAAAATTATCCTCTGTCCCAGGGTTACCATATTTCGGACAACCAAAAAGAGGACGCCTTCCGCTCGGACGGAAAATTGATGGCGGGAAAGGAGGACATGCGTGGGAAAACCCAGACATATGATAACCCTAAAAAAAAAAACTTGTACGGCGGACCTTTCAACACACTCTGTTGCTAGGACTTTATTGATCTGATGGGGTAGACGGTAGAAAATCATTGGGTTCCTCGAAGGTCGTCGATATGATAAAGCTTTTTCCAATTATGACCGCTTGCGCGTCAGCAAGATGAAACTTTGATGAAGGCCAGGAATCGATGGAATATCCAAGGAGACGACCCATTCAAGGTCCACCGGCACTTCGACGCGAACGATTAACGCCATGCATTTTGCAAGGGATAACGCCCAAAGTGCAGAGGTCTTGCGTGTGTTCTTATACGTCTCTCTGAACCACCCAGAGAAACAGGGGCACAATTGTTTATTTTACGCTCTCTGCAAACATCTTCCCTACGTAGAAGGCACCACTTCTCACTCAATAGATCCACTGTCGAACACGAATGCGAATCCACACGAATAATGCGTCGGAAAAGCAAAACTACCTTGGTAGAAACGAACCGAACCCCAGGCCGTCGATCGTAGACCGAGACTGCAGGAATGGGTTGCATCTCCAATGGATCGTCGTTAGTTGCGAATGGTACGAAACGAAGTTTCCTACAATCTCATGAAGAAGCGATTCCTTTCTCCCGAGGTGGGAAACGAACAGCCTTACTTCCACCCTTGAGCCTTGAGGTGGCTCGAAAGTTGGAACCTATGCTACATGTCTCACCCTCTAAGACAGGAGCAGTTATTCGATGAATGAATGAATGAATTAATATGGAATATGGGTCCCTCCCTCCCCCCTCTTTTCTTACGTCACCCCGGAAGTTGACTCCAAAGATATGCCCGTAACAGTGGTGATTGTATTGACTTGACTCCAGGATGAATATTAAGAGGAAGTGAAGGAGAGGAGGGGCCGATTCAAGATAAGCAGGTGTGTCTCAGGTCGAGTAAGACAGGGTCTAGCTGCTCTAGCAGCTAAACGTCAAGCGAGACATGAAACTTTCAGATCGATGAAACTCGCTCATAAAGAGGAATGGACGTTTTCCTGTTGATAGACTTTATCGGTGTTTTCATCCGACGGCGCTAAGAATTTTCTCACATTTTTACCATATATTCGCATCCAAATATAAAACTTAGTAGTATAAGTAATCCCGTCAGAAAACGATTGAATGGGTTATGTTTTTTGGCACTCGAAAGTGTTCTCTATCCCTAGGCCCTCCTCCGCCGCCATGTTCGACGGGGAAAGGACAAGTAAAATCTAGAAAAAGAAACCGAAGTTAGCGCCAAAAATATTTTTCTTCGAGAGTATAAAAATGGATGGGACGCATGTGGTATCGTGCGATTCTTGTACCAGCGGGGATTAATTTTTCTAGCAGACATGTCGATGGAGTGGGCCATGCCCACGAGAGCAATGAGTCGGCGAGGGACGACGCGGAGCCGTCTCGAAAAACTCCAGGATGGAAGAAAAGGAGGAGGAGGGGCTGGTATATCCTAAGGTAAACAGGCGTGGTTGGGTGTTACTCGTTCTTGGCAGAGGCTTCTTGGGATATCTCCCAGCTCCACCTGGATAACCGCATCTATTCTATCTATCCTATGTACACTGTACAAGACTGTCGCTTCTCGGAATGTATTCGCATTGAAAACGGCCTGTGAAACAGGTAGTGCACCATATAAGATCTCCCCAGATGCGTCAAATGAGAACATTGTAGGCTTCGCCTCAAAGTAGAATATTCACCGAGCACAATTATTTCCGATTTGTACTTTTTCAAATGGATCCAGCTATATAATTCCCCCCCGACGATATTCGGCATGTGCCCTTGCAAATCCGTCATCGCTTGTTTCTATTTCGGTAGTACTCTCCCCGCCACTTGCTGTTTCCCATTCAATTTTTCGTCATCGTCTACTTCAATTTCGGTAGTACCGGGGAAATATCCTGTTCTGGTGCGCAGAGAATGCATGAAAGAAGCGAATGTTCCCATGTTAAGAGTTAGTTTTCGGAAATTAAGCGCGCCATCTATGTATGATTTGCTCAGGTCTTCATCCACGTCACTGAACAGAATTCTTAGCCTTTCATGAAGGGCTGCATGGAAAACTGATATTCCTAGCGAAGAAATCGGCTTTCATTATTCGAAAGGGAAAGTGGCATACGTATATGAACCTTTTTCCGTTTCCGAACCTTTTTTGCCGATGGACCAACTTTCATTTCAGCTATTTATTTAATCATTCCCGTATGATGAAAGCGAATGTAAGAACTATTCCAGCTGTCAGTACGCTTTATCCCTCAACCTTGAAGAATAGCGAAAGCATTCCATATCTGTGGGACTTCATTAAGAAATTCCGAAACGCTGTCCAATAGGATGTTTTGCTTCAAAATCGGTTCAGTCAAGTTGCCACGTAAAGGTCTCAGCCCTCTTTTTCGGCACTTCATTCCTCACGGGGCAAATATTGGAACCTGGATAAATTCCTGACTCACTTGTGAAAATAAAACTCATTCTCTAGAACTTGCAGTGCGTCAATGTGCATACAGGATGACTCACTATTCCGGTAACGTACTAACACTGAAAAAAATATATATAGTCACCGAATGGTAACTATAGCAACTAATATGGCCACCAATCGTGGCTCTATTTTGGGAATAAGCCAGAAAATAATATTATGAGCGGAATGTAGGCGGCTCCGACGTGAATTAACATTAATGACTCACGAACGGACCACCAGCGTGTCCGAGGTTATAATGACTCCGTTGACTTCTCGTTTGTAACACAGTGCATTTATTGAGATAACCAGAATTGGGTGAGATCAATAGCAGTAGGGATCAGAATAGGGATATTTGGAACCGTTTTGGAATCTATGGCATTAGATGATCGATGAACAAGGGATACAAAAAGATCAATACCTGAATGGATGTTAGTGTACAATGTAAAGACTTCCGGCACTCACTCCCAACCCGATCAGGGGTTCAACACATGTCCCGCGTCTTTACGACAGTCCTCAACTGTACTCGCGATGCCACACACTCTCGTCCCGACAACTGCGCTGCTGCTACTCTCTACACCACACTCTCTGAGCGCGCGGGACTTATATTACATCATATCGAGCATGCGTATTTTCCAACACGACGATTTAAGCATCCTTATTAAGAGTACCTCCTACAGGAAAGAGTCGTTGACGGTTGTGGGACGCCTTCAGGGTCATTTCTTCCCAACAAAAACGAAGCGTGCACGATTTCCCGCATGAGATGACTTACTGTCCATGGTCCAATGACGCTGACGGATCGCGTCGGTCCGTTCTCCAATTGGTCTATGCTCGTACTTCAGCTCAGAAGTTGAGACTTCCGAAAGGAATACCGTTAAGATGAGGCAAGTCATAAAGGTTTGGCGCTTACTGATATACTGTCGGTCCAGTTGATTGGTCTGTGCCTTTCAGATCTTACGTGTCATTCGGTACTTGAAAGACTTGAGACCCAGCGAAAGCATACATCTTCCCGATGCAAGTCTATCGATTCCTCATTTGTAGGAAGTCTAATAGAAATAGTTGCTCCGGGGCGATTTATGTTCTGGATATTAAGTGCTTAGTACATTCTGCGTTGTCTCATTGTTTGACAGCAGAGTCGGCGCTAGCTCTACGCGCCCCCTAGGCAGACGGCTGACGTGGCACCCGTTCTTTCTCCCAACTATCCCAGGAGGTGAACATGGTAGACATTGGTGCTGAACTGAGGAAGGACTAAGGAGGGAGGGGGGGGGAATACCGAGAGAAAATTTCAGTGGGATAGAAAGATATGAGCGCCCTTTCTTCCGTTCACTTGCCACCCTCCCTGAAGTCGTCGCCCTTGGCGGCCCTTTATTCCCCTATCCCCAAGTGCTGGCCATATTAATCCAGCTGCCTGGCGCCCCTATCCCGAGGCGCCCCTAGGTGTGCGCCTCGTTCGCCTATTCGTTCGTCCACAATAGGCACGCCGCTGCACTAAGTAAGCTATGGCGAGTTTACATTAGTATCTCGTTTGTTGCAATCGGTTCCGCAGTTTTTTCTATCGGATGGTCCATCTATACCCTATAGATGGATGACCCAGTCAGCAAAACAAGATGAGCCGAAGAAGATCCTCAAGGGAGCAAATTCACTTACGAAAGTGCTGCACCCTTACTAAAGAAACTTGGTATGTTCAAAGATCTTGGAGATGGAAGAACTTGCACCGGTGTTGGAGCGCCTGCTTGAACAATTTGAATTCGAAAAGCCTCTTTCGCAATATGGCTATTACTATACGACTATAAATAGCTATCTCACATAAATAAAACTACGAACTGAACGAATAAAATACACATGCTACTCTAGCGAACTTCCCCGAACGTTTAAAATGTCAGATTGTGCTTTCCTCTCTCGTACAAAATGTTTGGGAAGAATCGCCTCTCCCTCACTCGAAAGCACAGTACACAATGAATCGACGATGGTAATATGCAGAATGAACGCACGTGTGAAAGAGACTGGCGGAAGTGACGAGGAAGAGAAAGGACAACAGATTCCTCTTCTTCCTGCGTTCCACACCGACAGGATATGAGTTTGGAAAGAGCCGGAAGTGAGAGAGTGCGAAGGTGGCTACCGTGCGGAAGGAGAGACCGGACTGAGTCTCTCCGTAGGAGTTCGAGCCTCTCCCATTTGTTGGTCTATTATGCTGCCATGGCAACGTCGACGCCGCACGCACTTTTCATATCAGCGTACGTCGACGGTTCGAGTGACAACGAGGGGAAAAATCGCTCCATCCGATGGACGCGACGGCCCGGTCACCGAGCGGTGTTTCTTTCTTTCAGATAAGAATTCGTATCCAAATACGGATGAGATTCTTTTTTCGTGAGCAAGAGCAAGGAAATGACCTCACACCAAGGAGCAGAAAGAATAGAATGAGCGCAGGTGCAAGGGGCGTGGCACCCAATTCTGCGGGATGCACCGCGCAACATCTCTGCCGAGATGGACACAGCTTTTTCTTCCGTTGATAAGCAGAGTAAGACCCATCACATTTGAAAAGCAATTTGGTTGTATTTACTCATATTCCATCCAAAAAGTATATACCAGGGGAATTACTTCTCGTCAAGAGTAAGTATAGGTAGTTACGAGTACGTTACTTCTCCTTGGCTCTGATGACCTGGAACCGATCTTCATTCCAAAATAAATTGCAGCTGACATTGACATTTTGCATCATTTCCATTCTTGCTTTGTGTTGCCCCTTCGACCAGGTTGATACACTGCATTGCAAGAGTACCACTTCCTCGCACGAGGAATCGTTTCCATAGACGACCCATTTCCGTGAGAGTTCTTCCTTGAAACATGCATTGAACCCTCGATGCGAACCTGTAACCCACGCTCACCGCCAACTCTTTCCTGAGAAAAAATCTTCACCGTTTGCTTGTAAAAGGTTATAGCGCCATCCTCGCAGGCCGGCATCCGCCAACATTATTTGCTTACGTGGTTTTCCCCCCGTCAATTCTCGATTTTGAGCCAAAGATAACTAGCCCACCCCTTATCCGTTAAATACATAAATTTATATTTGTTGCCGATTGTTCACCCAATCGTATGAAAGATAGCGAGACTGTGAGAATTCACTCTTGCTTGTGGAATGCATTGTCCTTTGAAAAAGTTCGGAGTATCGGCGAGGGCTAAGAGCTGCAATATGAGCTTCACGTTTATTTAGTCGATTTGTCCTTCGGAGATTTCGGTATCGCAGCCATACTCATGCTGCGGTTCGTTCGATACAGCGTATATTTATTACCTGCATATTACTGAAGAGTCGCGAATGGCAACTTTCCTCCATTGTCTCTTCAGCGGGCTCGGTTATCTTCCGCAAACATGGAATCATTTTGTGATTGCTTCCGCACATCGGAATCTTTCTCCGAGCTGAAACCACATGTCTGATAAGATTCCTGGGATATTTTCTTTCTCACCTGAATCTCCCATCCTCGAGGAGCGAGATAACTCGGTAACCGACAGCATAGCCCAACGGCAAGAAATTCCCGACTCTTAATACCAGACTTTCCTTCACTCACAAAATCTCCCATGCTAATATATAATATTATACCTCCCTAGACAGATCATTCCACCGATAAAATGCCCTTCGTAACCGGCTGGTTTCTTATCTGTCTGGTGCAACTCTGTCACATTTCAAGTATCTTCTTCAGTCAGACTATTTCACGGTCCGTGTGGAATGGAGTACGTTCCATCTCAGAAGGGAAGAGACAAATTGATCGCGGACTCCTTTCACCTTTACCTACAATTCTTCACTTTCCCCAGAAAGAATTCTTCAAGAGAAACAGCTTGGCGGTCTGATGTAATTCGATACAATGCGCGTGTCCGAAGTGACCAATGGTCACATTTTAAAGATCGGTGAGTGAATAGTGGTCATGCTTCTGACTCGGCCAGAGTTCGCATGAAACTGAAGTCATCGTAGAAAGCCATTGTGTCCGGCTACCACAACCGACCGACTGAAGATTTCCTTCGGGGCGTCGCACTCAACCTGGGCGAACTTCGTACGAATCTCATTAATGATCTCATGACCTCAATCCTCGACCCTTCATGAATCTTCGAGATTTAACGTCCCCTTTTTTCTCTCCTATGTGACGCAATTTTTCATTACTTTTGGTCGAGGCCTGACATTGAGAAATGATACACATGCGAGGAAAAGTTGATCGCCCTTTGAGTAAACTTTGAACCGTCCCAGAATTAAAAGTTATGCTCTCATAAGTCGTTCGGATGTTTCGAATGAAATTTTTTTGTCGGTGGGAGATCATGTCGGGGTTTTTCCGTCTGGGATTATTTGTCGCGGAATATTCCGTCGTCCACCCGAGATAACTTACATCGTCATATATAACACTCTTCCTTACTAATTAGTGATGAGAGAACCTTGTCGCATTGCAACCCATGGAACGAGGTCCCGAGTCCCTTCCTCCATCCTCAGGGCCAGACAGGAGACAGGCATGGAACCTCACTGGACTCGGTTACTTGTCTAGATAATGTTTTCAGGAATTCCGATGCCTTCCTCCATGTTGTCTGTGGATACTATGTCAGTCGCGACGATTATCTCCAAACTCAGTAACTTTAGCCCTTGTAGCGGTGTGTTTTTGATGTAAAGGCGTACTGCTGGAATGAGGTTTTTTTTACGAATGGGTTCAACGATGCATTGTTCAGGATTTGAAGTAAAAGGAGACAAACTATTTCATGAATGATGCAAGAATCCATACCGAAATGGACAGTGCCATAGGGTGACGTAAATATACGAGCACACCGACGGCGGCACGTGCGTACAGTAACGTGTACGAGGGGTACATACAGGCGGTCTACTCGATGGGTTCAACTGCGTGCCTTGTCCTTTTATATCCGGTTCAGCCGGTGAGGGGATGATTCTTATCCTGATTTCTGTTCGCACTAACCCAGCGAGATACGTCGAAAATAAATTTGGGTTGTGGCGAGGAGTTGCGACAGGCAGCGCGAGGTATGAATAGCATCTGGCTGGCATCGGACAGGAAGCAGACGAGGGCTGATCCTCGCTTCGTATTCCCTATCTCAAATGCTTTTTGCAACCACAGCGCGAAGGCATTTCTTCCACTCGATGATTTCTTTCACCAGCACAGGCTGCTAAAGATGAGTGGGCTGGCCTGTAGGCGGAGTCCGGATCTACGAGGCAAAAACGTTGTGCGGGCTGGGTAGGACGCGGGCACAGCTTTTCATTTATCCGATTTTTATCTTTATTCTATCTATTTTTTTTTTTATCTAAGACCTCAGAAAAGGAATAACACTCTCCAATCGTTCAGAAATTAGAGGTATGGTACTCGAGTCTCGACAGGAATAGCACCGAGACGGCAAGGATGCGTGGGTTCGACTGGTTTTCCTTGGCTTTCCTTTATTATTTTTCCTTTTTTTTGCGGACCAGGTTTGGCTTCGGGCCAAAAGAGAAAGATTGAGTCGGGTCAGATGTACCCATGCCCAGAAGAGCGAGGATGGACCGGGTTTCCCCCTGTTCCTTGTCTCAGGAACCAAGCCCGTAACTAACTGAGCGACTCTCTACTCCGAATGGTGATTTTTGACGAAGAGCGCTGTAAATATTACCCCGTTCGCCTCGACCGTATATCTAATTTGCGTGGACTTCCCATCTTAAGCTTGCTTAAGCTTGCTTAAGCTTGCAGTTATGCCACGGGAAAGTTTAAGTGCCCCCAGGATGTTGAACATCGCAGTTGTGACACAATCTGCGTTGGTCTAGTACTACAGATACGGAAATCGACATTACATGAAACCGATCGATTCGTATTTAGTCGTGCTAAAACTGAAGCTTTTAGCGAATTTGAAATCGAACCGCATGTTCACAGTAGAAAGCGCGACTCCGAAGCACGCTATTCGTTGCCGCTAAAACATAAACCATTTTCAACTCTTGACATTACGAATGCACAATTTCTTGAGGTCAGGTAAAAGTGAAAGAGAAAATAAACATTTCTCCTCCCGATCCCGAGGCCTACCGCATTCAACCGTGACTCCTTTTGAAAATGTTCAAGAAAAAGAAACTGGCCAAGACTTACTGGATTTAACACTGAAACTTCGCACCACTGCACAGTGGTACGAAAGTCCGAAATTCTTGGACAAAAGTCAAAATTTGAAAATGTAAGAATGAAACATTTTTTTGTCGTTAAAAGTTACGGATTGAAGTCCTTGTCCGGCATCGATATTTCTCCAGGCCTTCCTCTGGTCCTTTATTAGCCTTTACGTGGTGCAAAGGTCAATGATTTGAACTTTTCTTAAAATATAAAGATTTAATGCCAAATTGTGACAAAAGTTTGTCACGAAATACGACTGTTCTTGTCGCTGTATTTTCATCAAGTGCGATCTTTTCCCTTCCGAATCGTGGAAGCCGATTTTTTCCTTAGGAATATCAGTTTTCCATGCAGCCCTTCATGAAAAGCTGAAAATTCTGTTCAATGATGTGGATGAAGGCCTGAGCATATCATACATAAATGACGCTCTCTATTCCCAGAATCAAACTCGGGTCATGGAAGCATTCGCTTCTTTCATGTATTATCTGCATGCCATGCTCAGTCGCCAGAAACAGGAGTTTTTCAGGTGCCGCCGACAGCGAGCGGCGGGAACAAACGATATGACCGAGGCCAAACTTGAAAGAGCGCGTGCCGAATATCGTTGGAAAACCTATATTTCTGTTCTGTGGGAATCAATAAGCCACGGACACTAATGAGATGGGTTTTATTGATCATGCAAGACAAAGACAAGCTCGCAGGCAGACCTTTCATTCGCAGTCGTGACAGAAAATGAGAATGCCGAAAGATCTGGAAGCGTTTATGCACACCCCACGATGCAGGCGAATATCACGCCCAGAACCTGCAGAGAGGACGATATCGACCGATTACTTGCAACACGGCCAGATCATGACCAGACAGATGAAAACTCAAGGAGGAATGGAAGGAATTGTGAGAAACCATGAGGATGGCGAAGACGAGGGCGACGATGGCCAGAATCTCCGCATGCCCTTCCAGTTTGTAGACGATTTCCATGCATCCCGTTTCATACAATTTGCATTGGATGTTCTTTGCACACTAAAAACGAGCAAAGGATCGATCGGTGTTTTCTGGTTCCTGTCCTCATCCATCAGCAAGAAAAAGAGGAACTGTATCGAATGGAAGGAAGACGCGAGAATGGGTCACCTTTCCATCTTTGCAGCAGCTGCAAGGAAGAGGGTGGGAATGACTTTTCCAGTCTGCAGGGCCGTCGATTCCACAGCATTGTCCCTGTTCGTGTAGAAAGTCAACAATCCATCGTTAAACCGATCGATCGATCGACCAGCGGTGGGCAACTATTTAAAACTGTTTACTTCCAGCTGACTGCAAGGGTAAATTCAACTACTCTTGCGATTAACCCCTATTCAGGCAGTGAAATTGATTTCGGCGAAGCTAATTGGAACTTACCTTATAAACTGATCTTAGGAATGATAAAAACAAGAGGGGGAGAATTTTTCTCTCTAGTCTGTTCCAGCACTCGACCAATTGTTAGCCAACTTAACACGTATAATTAGGAATAATGGTAACGTTCTATGATATGAATGCTTTCTTTCTCAGGCCATGAATAATGATTTTGAATACTCAATGTACTTTTTTCACTTTGGCAGGAGTGCGAGATGATTCTCAATGAGCAAATTGTATCAATTATGCAGTCATGCCCGAACATGTTCAGTGTATGCTATGCATACATTGTGCATACCTTGTAAATATTTGTACTTAGCAAGAATGATGAAGTTAAGTGGTTGTAGGGCCAACGGCGTAGCATTGGGGAGGCCAGGGGGGGGAGGGGGGGAGGGGGGGGGGGCGGGCCACGGGTGCCCCCCCCCCCCCCCCCCCCCCCCCTCNGGGGGGGGGGGGGGGGGGGGGGGGGGGGGGAGGGGGGGGGGGGCCACGTGTCCCCCCCCCCCATCCAACTTTTTCCATTCACGTTACGCTTACGTGTAGGGTCAAGTTGAGATGGTTTTCAGCTAACGCCATGGAGGTAAAGCAAAAGATGCAACGAACCATTAAACTCATTAAACCATTTAGTACGAGACAAAATGGTATAGTGGTGCAGTCAACGACTCTTATTGTGATCTCTGGTTATCAGCCGATAATGAGATAAAATCATAGATAACCATAACCAATAGACGGCGGCATTTATTGCCGCTGCCTATTGTTTTCAGCCGCATAATTTTATCAAATTTCCTTGCACTAACGTGATCACAATAAATGCTGTCTACTGTATAGCGTAAGAGACAGAATAGTATAGCAGGAAGTTACACGATTTAGTATGTGACATGGAATCCCTTTCTTTGAGTGGCAAGAAAGGGCTTTTTTGCACCGCTTCCTTCACGCTCAACACATTTCTCCCTGTAGCTTAAAACACTCTACAATTAGTGGCAATCGCAGGTCATCGGGCACTCACGGCTTGCTGAATCTTATCCCAGGCGATGGTGTTGGGGTCTGCGGGGTCGATCGGATTGTAATCGTACATCTTTTCGTCGAGGGCTTCCCTCATGAGATCGGCGATGTTCGCTTTGAAGACGAATCCCAGAATCGCGACGGACCCGACCCCGATGAGGGCGAGAGTCGTCAGCGCGGCGTACTACGAATAAGAACCTTAGAAGTTACGAAAAAGTATTTCTTCCAATTTCGTCTGCGAGAGGGGCAGATCGAACTCACGGTCATGAGGAGACACGAGGATTCCCTGATGGCCCCCAAACATCCGAGGCAAGAGAAAAAGGTGGTGAATGAACCGACGGCGATGACGAGGATGGCTCCAGCCCTGAAAATTTTATGATCGGCGAATTTCTCGCCTATGAAATAGTCATCGTCTGCCACTCCCACTATCCCCACGACCGTCAGGGTCAAGCCTCCGATCTATCACGAGGATTCATGACCAAAAATCCTGTCATTGGTTTCCCATAACGATTCTTGCAAAAATGATAAACCCTTTTTCAAAACTGAAGTCTTGCCTTCAAAATTGCAATCACGAAACCGACTGCCGCCCCTACAACAGCAACGGGCAGTGCCATGGCGCACGATACTGTGTGCGAGTCAACCGCGGATGGGCTCCAGAGGATTTCCAGTCGAAAGTGGGGGTAAAGCAGGGATGTGTTTTGTCGCCAATCCGACTTATTAACGATGTTCTCAAGGAATTAGTGTTCATTTAGATGCTCACATACCGAAACTTCGGATGTGGAAAATACCAGGACTACAGAAGTATCGTATGCGGATGGTCTCACTCATATCCTCAGCAGCTTACTCAGAAAAGAATAAGCTGAAAGTAAATGCACAGCCTGGTGTTGTGCGATTCTCGAGAGACACAAGTCCGGACCCCCAAGTTTTTTGTATCAAGATCGGCAGCTAGGAGTTGTTAAACCGTTCACATATATTGGGATGGTGTTTTCTGCCAGAGATCAGTGGACAGGCAATATGCATTCCCGCTGGAATAAGGCCAAGACCGCAAATGCAGAGGCTCGATGGCGGGCTTAACTAGAAAAAAATACCCTCTTAGGGACAATTGGAGTTTGCTCTGGAACCTAGCGTTTCAATATTCAGGTATTCCTAGTCTGGACGTGACAACTGGTCCCCTTTTCAGATTGGTCATCCGAGCCTAGAAGTTTCCTTTTGTGATCCATGGAATGAACACTTGCGCCCTCTCTCTACCCATTGGGATATCAGGAAATGTTAACTATTTTGGCGCGAAGAACTAGGTGAATAGCGTAGACAGCCTATTCCGATACTTATAAGACCAGTATCATCAGTTCCTCTTCTTTTTGCAAGCTACGATCTGGAAGTAGTCGATTCGTGTTTGAAAGTTACATTATGGAAGAGGCACTCCACATGTCTCCACAAGTGTAGATGTAAGTGATTCATGCCAGAAGTAACTCTCCCTTCCCTTAATTTCTTGGCACCCTCTCTGTATCTTGTGCTTTCTGGCAAGTGCGAGAGACCTGAATGTAAAGTTTTGCTTTTGCATGCTGCCGAAAGGTGAATGCCAATCTCCAATGTCGAAGTTTGAGGACGAACTTTGTGAGTACTTGTTTAATACCTGCTTTTGTGTTTTTTATTTTTATTTTTATACTTTTTCTTTGTTGCCGAAAGGCTTCATCAGCAAAACGGCAATAAAAGTGTTCATTCATTCATTCCCAACGATGACTTTCTCCTCTCTATGAATTCGTCAAATAATCTGTCGTGACTTCAAGTATTTGACGTCCAACACGACTTGAAGGGCGAGACTCTGGTGACTCGCTGCCATGAGGATCAGGTCCTACGTCCAATCTAAGTGAATAGAAGGGGAAAAGGGGAAAAGGGGGGGGGGGGGGGAAGCGGGACAGAGGCAGACAAATTTGGACCGCTGTAAGTGATTGCATTGTCTCTGGATCATTTCTTGTTGAACGTTTTTATGACTATTACAAACGTGAAAATTTTTCTTTATTGTCGGACAATCTTAAAGGTTGCTTCTAATTGAAGCACTTGAAATGTGCTTTTCAGTGACATCGCTTTCCCAGTCCAAGATCATCACAGCTCAAAAAACCTAATTTTGAGATATTGCGTTTAAACATTTTTGTGCGATATACCTTGCAAGAAAAGGCTCACTGTCAATATATAGGTTAGTTCCAAGTGTTCCTCTTCCATATGTACTTGCATATCTCCTTCACAGTGATCTCCTTCCAGGCCTCTTGAATGTTGGCTCTGTTCGATAATGGAGTGATCCAATTTACACCGCTCAAATGTCCAGCTAGACTTTTAGCCCCAAGTATGACGTCAGCTTGACGTCATACCGCGCTTGTGCAGTACCGAATTGTGCGTGATGAGAAAAACTTCGAGGTGTCATATCCAAACAACCGCTGTGGATGTACTCTGGTAGATGGAAATGTATAGTTTCCATGGGACCGAGAGGAAAAGCAGATGTATACCTGGTGTAATTTATACGCCTCTGCCTCTTCTGGAAGTTGAGAAATACAGTAAATGTGGAAATCGCGGCGCGTTTTTTTTATGCGTCACCCGGAATGACGAATTTCTCTTAACATCAACTCTCCGATGAAAAATGCTGGTAACAAGCTCAGACTTGGTGGATTTTGTACTCCTCTATTAGTTCCGAAAGATGCAGTTTAGGTTGAACCGTTATTTTAACCTACGTAGTAAAACAAAAATAACAGCAGAAGCTGGCGATTTAGCTGTTTTAGGTTAACTCTGACTCGATATTTGTCCCCGTGGTGATGAAGCTACGACGTAGGAGATGGAGCTGCGATACTGCGATAGCTGCCCACGACAATCTGCTCCTGTTGTACAACGGAAGTAAACTCGTCCAGATCAGTATGAAAGGAATGATTTACCAGGGCGATGAGGTTGAAGGCGAAGAGGGTGTATTTGGGGCATGCTGGGACTTCCTTTGCTTCCAATCTCTCCATCGTTCCAATCCTTAGCTATCCTAGCTATTCTTCGAATGGAGGAGAGTCGCACAGGTGCGGGGGAAAAATGGAGGTACAAAGGGAAGGACCTCTACTTTTATCTCCCTCTACCTGGATAAACAGAAATATAAAAAAAAATATATAGCCGAGGAACAATGTATTTTTCTTCCAACGGTTGGAAAGATAGCCTTCTGCTGTCCCACAGCCGCACAAAGGAAAAGAAAAACAAGCCGTTACTATTGGAATTGCCTTGAGCCAAGCTCTATTGGGATGTACATGGTGAAGTGGCTCCTTGATGATCTTATGAGGCTTAATTATCTTTTGCAAGTATGGAATCATTTTGTGATGTATTCTATCACACATCAGTATCTTTTCCCGTGCTGAAACTGCGCGTCTTATACGATTCCAAAGATGATATCTTCTCGCACCAGGATCTCATATCCTCTAAGAGTCAGATACCTTACGACATGCAGTCAAAAAGTCCGTGCCGTCATACTGTAACTCCTAAAGAATACCAAGTTTCGCAAAGTCAATTCTCTCGCTTCTCAACAGTCTCATTCTCTCTCTACACACAGTCGCCACTCTTTTACCGGTCTTTATAGCACTCAGCAAAGACCTCTTTGGATGTAAATTCTTATGTTTGAACCACTGCACTGGTAGACTGCAGAGCCTTGGGGGTCGTAACTAGAAAGCCTAATAGAGCCTAACCGTATAATATCTACCTAATAAGAATTTACTAGCGTAACTGGAACGGCTTTTTGCCTCCTAATAGAGAAAATTTTAACCGATTCTTATTATAGGTCGGGACCTCTGATAGAGAGATAATAGCGTTGATTTAATAGACCTCGTCATTGTGATTTCTTCTTTCATCGCATCCAATTAATGGACGAGCTACGAAGACCCACTCGTAGAAAGCGATCTCTTTCTGTAAGCCTTCAAGTCCTCATTGCCCTGAGATATTATGCAACAGGAGATTTATTCCGTGAAGTTGGCGACCCCGTTGGTGTGACCAGGATGACTGTTTCTACAAAAGAGAGCCTGTAGTTTCTGTAGAGCCATCAAGGATGTATCAGAAGTTCTGTGCCAAAGAGCTGATGATTTCATTTATTTTCCCGAAGAACCTAGGGAATTGAAAGGCATAAAGCAAGGTTTCTTCGCCATCGCACGGTTCCCAAAAGTCCTTGGTGTAATTGATGAAAGTCAAATTTCCATCAAGGCTCCATCTGCGGATGAGGAAGTTTACGTGAACAGAAAATTCTTTCATTCAATCAACGTTGAAGGCATCTGCAACTCTGATCGTATCTTCACGAATATTGTTGCCAAACGGCCAGGAAGCACACGACAGCTTCATCTGGAATACACGTGACGTCAAGGTGCGATTTGAGAATGGGGATTTTTGGGAACGGATATTTGGTTGGTGACTGTGGCTATGCTCTTCAAATGTGCTTGTTGACTCCCATAATGAAAGATTCTCCCTCTTCTTCCGAGAGAAAGTATAAGAAAGCTCTCTAGCAGACAAGATGCATCATTGAACGTTGTTTTGGGGTTTGGAAGCCGAGATTGAGTTGTTTGCGCAAGTCATGCGGATCGTTGCAAGAGGCACCTGAGAAATGCTGCAAAATAATTGTGACTTGTGCCACAATTATTTTGTCCACGACATGTGCAGAAGAGCTGGAGTTCCAGACCCTGACATCGAGTCGGAAGACGCTACCGTCGCCGATGATGCTGACTTGGGAAGCTCATCAGCAAATAATGCCAAGACTTTTCGAGAGTGTTGTGAGATGCTCTCAATAAGGTTTTCAAATGCTGTCGAGATTAAGAGTGGATTTTTGAACAGAGAACTATCCGACAATGCAGCTTTATTTCTGAGAAAATGCATTATAAATCCGATAAATAAAGCAGCATTATCGGATAGTGCTCTGTTCAAAAATCCACCCTAAATGTTTTTCTCGGACAAAATAATTAGGAACAGCCACAACAGATTTTAAAGGCTGTTTAAATGGCCTATTAGAGTGATATTATATCCTAAGATAACTGGATGGTATGAGTCCAATATTATGCATTCCAGTTGCGCTAATAAATATCCTCTAACCTCCTAATAGCAGCATAATAGCGTCATAATAAAAAAGACTCTTCTAGTTACGGCCCCCTGGACTCGTCTCCAAGGATATTTCTTTCCTCGCAACGAATCCTTGAGCTAGCCACACAGTGACTCGGAGCGAGACCTGGCGAATGGGGAGCATGTGGTAAGAGTTCAATTCTCCTTTTGGCCAAGTACTCAGCCACAACGTGGGCAGTGTGTGATGATGTGTTGTCCTGGTGCGAGTGAAATTTCCATCGGCCAGTTCCGGGCGCAACTTGTCCACTGCCGGCAAAAGCCCCGCCCAGTCAAAAATTTTATTTCATCATCGGGCCATAGCTGGGGAAGTTGGCTCATTTTCGGTTCATTGGCTCATTTTTCCGAAGATGAGCCAATGTGGCTGAGAAGGTTCCGAAAGCCGGCGTGAGATGGAGCCAAATTGATCGTAGTTGGGAATCGCTTCTCGGATTCTACTGAAATGAGTCCCCTGTCCCTTTGACAGAGTTCCCTATGGTTTTTCGCCTTGATCTCAGAGGAAGACAATTTAATTTCTTGAAACATTTCTCTGAAGATGTAACCTAGCCCTGAAATAAACCAGGAGGTGCGTGGGAGGATCCTTCCACTTTCCACTATAAGCTACGCAGACTCCTCAACTTTCTCCCAGATGAAGGACCAGTAGAGGGCCAAAGTTGGCAACAGGACATGTACGACCATAAGCCGGCTTAAACCAACCGTAAGCCAACCATATGTCAGTGATGGCCCAACTAAGGCTTATATACGCGTCGACGAAAAGCCATCGACGACCCGATGATACATTTTTGACTGGGCGTTTCTCGTAGGTGTCGGTAATACTCGTCCATCGATGGTTTGATCCTTAGGAAGGGCATGAGCCAAAATTAAGCCTTGCTAGTCCCAGAAGATAGCAAACATGATCTTTTCAATAGAAGCAACTTGTCGAAACTTCTTGGTTAGTGGGGAATCGGTGTGGTTCCACTGTTTTGATTTTCTCTTGGTCTCAGGATCGAAGAGAGGGGTCCACGTCTCATCCTGAGCGATCACACGATCCAAGAAATCCGTTGAGCACTCCGCATTTCGCGTCACCATTGCAGAAGAAGTGTCTAGACGGCCTTGCTTTGTGCCCTCTGAAAGCATGCCATCATCGATGGACAGGCGTCGGTCTGACATCACTTCTGAGATCACATCTGAGATCACACAGAATCTTCCTCCACACGTTGGATGTTTTGGTTGGAGCTAGCAGTTCAGGGCCTTCCAGAATGGGGTTCGTCTACTGTGGAAACTCAAGCAAAAAATTCACGCTGTACAGCATGTTGGATTGATAGAAGCCATTCCTATGCATTTTTAAATTAAATTTAGGATACAGTAGAACATGCAGTACAGCAGATGCAATGCTGCATCTGCTGTAGGCAACGAACTACTGCTGTGTGTTGCATCGAGCGTTCAGCATGCTGTACCAATGCAGCACGGCAGGAGTATGAATTCGGCCATATAATAGCGGAATTTCTTCACCTTCCTCCAGAAATATTATGGCCAAAGGTCCTATATACGAAATCTTGGCTTCATGCAGACGATCTTTTCCTCGCCCACGCGGAAGAAACTCGTTTTCAATAGTCCCCGGGAAATTCCAAGCAATTAATTGTGAAATGGCTGCTTTGCGTGCATGAGTGGTAAATGTAATTTTCAATTAATTCATCGTAATACTCTGGATAAATATCCTCTCAATAATATGGAACTTTCCCCAATCTTGGAGAAGTGATCCGAGACCTTCAGCTTGTGATCCCCGAAATTCCCATAAGTATATATGTATAACCTAATGCATGTAATGGGAATTGGAGGTTCGATTCCCAAAGCTAATGTCTTTTCAAGCTAATTGTCCTGTCGGGTGTGGGGAATATGAAGAACATAATGAGTTCTTCCCGATGAGAAAAAAAGAGCTCTGAAATGATGTGCGCTCATGCCTCACCCAAAGGATCCAAATTATCAGAGTCGGGGTGACCCACGACAAGGGCTCAGCTGCTTTCGAAGGGCGAGAGAGGGATGGGAGTGACTCACGCCTCGAATGAACAACAGCTGGCAACAGAAAAAAATCTGAGAATACGAGGAAATGGAATTTATTGGAAGATAAAAGAAAACCTGCTTGCGTACTTTTCTCATGCAGATTCCAGCGTTTCCTCGGAACGGCACGATTACGTGAGGGAAACATCGTTTCCGCTATCGCACTAGAATTGCCCACCTCACTATAGACGGCAACTTTATTGCCTATGCTTCGCTCGGAATTTTCCGAAAGAATATTTTTTGCAGTTTATATGTGCTTCTGAAGGTGATATGCGAATTGCAGCATGCCTAAGATTCTATGCCCACGTCGCAAGCATTTTGGGAATGAAAGGGACAAATCGATTCTCTTTACACAAAAGTTACGCGTACAAGGTGTTTTCAAAAAGTTCGGGGACTGATTCCTTCCTGAGGTTACGATGCAACGTATGGGCTATTAGAATTTGACTCCTTGAAAGTGTTCCCTTTGGCGTGCAGACATTTTGTCCAGCGCTCCTACAAGCTCCAGAAGCATTTCTCCTTCAGTCCTCGAGTGTAATTCCCTGAAGCGTTCTCGTTGCGTTGTTTCTCATCGACTCGATGTATTCAAATCTTTCCTTCGGCCCTAAGTTTAACTTGGAGAAGAGAAAGAAGTTTGATGGAGCCAAATCAGGTTAAAAAGTCGGATGGTCGAGAAGAGGGATGCCATTCGACGCTTGGAACTGTCGCGCTGAGAGGGCGGTGTGGGGCCGGGGGCGTTGTCGTCTTCCAGAATTCACTTTTCTCTGCCTCTGGCTTCTCTCTCCTTTTCCGGCGGGCTTTGTTCACGAAGGCGATTCATGACACCCAGGTAAAAGACCTGGTTCGCCGTTTCGCCTTCCGGTTCGAATTTGTGATGAACAAGTCCCGCAGAATCAAAGAATGCGATCGGCATCACCTTAGACTTTTGCCGTCGCGCCTTTCTGGGTCTCGGCAAACTTGTCGCCTTCTAATGCGAACTCTGGCGTTTGGTTTCGGGCTCGTAACCGTAAACCCATGTTTCATAGGTCGTGACGATGTTGCGAGACAGGTGAGGATCATTTGCGGCACCGGTCGACAGATCCTGACAAACGCTGACGCATTGCTGCTTCCGTTCGACAGGGAGAAGGCACTGAAGAAACTTTGCCGAGACGCGCCGCATGCTCAAATCTTGGGCGATGATGGCATGACAGGTGCCGATGAACATGCTCGTCTCCTCTGCCACCTTTTCAACTGTGATCCTTCCGTCGGAGCGCAGATTTTTCTCGCTCTCGACGCCTTCGTCGGTTCGTACCTCGAAGGGCGTCCGGAGCGTGGGTCATCTTCTGTCGACTCTCGGCCATTCTGGAAACGCTCATACCACATAAAAACCTTGCCACGTGTTACAGTTAAGCCTCTATAAGCTCCTTGCAGCATGTCGTATGTCTCCGAAACCGTTTTCGAGTTTAAAACAAAATGTGATGCAAATTCACTGCTCCTGAAAGTCGCCGATTCTAAATTTGGACGTTCAGCTCTGTCAAGTCCGACTGGGCAGACTGTATGGCGAAATGCGGAGAGCCATAGCCCTATCACTCCTGGGGGGAGGGGGGGCTTTCAAGCACCCTAGTTAGTTTCTTGCGGATCCCATTCATTGCTTAAGAAAATCAGTCCCCGAACTTTTTGAACACATCTTGTACATTACGAAAAATTAGATATAGAAACTACTCGATGCAGCAAATGGAGTTCGTGGATTCATGGGAAACGATAAATGGGACTCGTCACAAGGGACTGAGTTTCTACAATACTGAGAAGTACCCGTATATGCTTTCGTCTCTAGTCGGGAGGAGATGGAGAGGCGAGTGCAGGACACGTTCCATTCAATCGATGAATAGGAATTCCTCCACGACTGCCACGACAAGGAAGATTTCTGGAATGCATCTTGAGGGCATCCAACATTCATCATCCCCCCTGTGCGTCCTGCGAAGACCCACGGGAAACCCCATTCCGAGGAAAGGCATCCTGATGTCCTACAGATTCTTCCCGAATGCTTCTACGACTCACGAAATGGTCCTGCATTCTATGTTTAACTTCATGAAATGTTTAAATGTTGGCCACAATGAGATCACATTAAGAATCATTATAAAGATTCAGTTTTGGGTTTTGTTTAATCCCCCATTAGACCAGTCCAAAAACATATTTCACTACTTCTTACAATAATCCAGAAATGTCCGATCCAAGTTCAAATGTTCCTAAAATCGGAAAACTTTGATCTTCAGTAACTTTTGCTTTTTCCCAGGTACAGCTGCATTTATCTTTTTCATGCCCGAACTGTGTTACATACGAGGTACATGGAAAAAATATACACAATTTTGTTCTGTTACCTATAATCATTGAGCGAAACTGAAAGCAATCTTCTAGTTTTATTTAAGCTTAGTCCACTGCAACGTTAATAATACAGTTCTGAATCTGCTTTATGCATCATGAGCACCAATGATAGGTTCATCCTAGGATTCGCAACTGACGTATTTTCCGTCCGATTTGAGTTTGGCAGTTTCGCAGAAACTGTTATTTCTTCTGCTCGTTCTTTGGCATTTTCCCTTGCACCCTCGAAGCCGTTTCCTCTGTACTGGAGTTTTTAGTTGATGCTCTCAACCAATTTGCGAGCGATAACGATGCATATGGTAGAACGTTGCACATGCATGCTAGCTTACTGGATTTCTATGGAAGTGCAAGCTGCAACAGACGACTACGGGGAAGAGGAACCTGTGCGAGGCTAGTTGGTCTGGCAGTGATTCGGCTTTCGAGCAGGCCACACCATCCAATTTCAGAAACGACTTTCCGCCTTTCCTTCTATTTATAATTTATTCCTTTGTCCTCTTGGGGCTGGGGCTCCCTAGAATCCGGAGGCCCCTGCGGCCGCAAAGGAAGCAGGGCTTCTTCCGCCGGCCCTGCTCATTGGCAACCCAAGCCAAATATTTGCGGAACTCCCTCTGGTCTACCTACTGAGTCCACCGTTCACATTGCTGCAACCGGAGTTGGGGATCTGTCTTAGGGTTTCCCCCCCCCCCCCTTTTTTTTTTTAGAAAGGGAAAAAAAAATGCAACCCTCAATGGTTTTTATCACTAAGGGTTCCCCCCCCCCCCCCCTTTTTTTTTTAAGAAAGGAAACAAAAAGTGCAACCCTCAATGGTTTTCATCGTTGATGCCACTGTAGTTTCCCGGGAAAAAAAATTATACGTTCTTTATGTCTGAGTCAGCTAGTGACCGATGTTTTTTTGTGTTTGCTCAGGAAGTCCCTGTAACGCAGCTCCATCAGTCCAACAATGGAACCTGGCTTGACGCTTCTGTACCTGTGACACTCTGTTAATTGAATGATTTTTCTATTTTGTGAATCAAGGAACAAAGGACTTTAATAGGTTTCATTTTTCTTACAAAATGACTAAGACAAGTCCGCAGACAGTATTTGTAGATTCAATCACCGTAGAATTAGCATGGAGTGGAACATTAAGGGCTCTGGAAAGAAGATTTTACACGGCACACCCCACGATGCAGGCAAATATCACGCCTACAATCTGCAGAGGGAAGAAAAGCAACCGATGGCAGTTATTAGGCGTAACGAGACAAAACTTCCCCTCCGAGTGGAAGGAATCGCAACAAACCATGAGGATAGCGAAGACAAGGGCGACGATAGCCAGGGTCCCAGCATATCCTTCCAGTTTGTGGACGATAGCCATGCATCCGGCAGTGTAAACGTTTTTGTTTGTCGGCGTGCACTAAAAGAAAGAATCAACCGGTGTTTCCTGATTCCCTTACTTCTCATTTGCCATTAGGTAAGATAAAACGAAGGAAAAATAATAGAACGAAAATGAGAGAACAGATCACCGCTTTGTCTCGATTACTGCAGCAGCTCCATGGTATTTCGCCAGGGGGAAGTTGTCCACTAAACCCGTGGTCAATCCAGTCCTTAGGGCCATTAATTCCACAGCATCGTCCCTGTTCATGCAGGTAGTCATCAATCACTCAGTTTTTCAATAAATGAATCAATCAACTGGGTTATGGCAGTGGCGGGCACCAAACGACATTTTCAACAATCTTCTAAAATTTTGCGATTGTGTACGACGGACAAAGAGAATCCAACCGACATTCTATATTTCTACTTCGATTAAGCGTTTTGTATTTTATCTTAAAAGAGGTTACTATTGCTAAATTGGAGGCACATGGGTTTCAAGGTAGGTGAGTAACTGGATAAGTAACTGGTTATTGAGAAGAGAGTAATCGGGTATTTCTCTGGAAAAGGAGCTTAGGGTAAAACCACCTTAGTTCTGACACTCGAACGTACATTGCTAAGAAAAAAAAAACCTTCACGAGACCGTCACCATGGAGAATTCTTCATCCTAGCACAAGATGAAAATGTTAATAAGCGAAAGACTTGCGGTGGTCTCGATCGCTGAGCACGATTTCGAAATATTGGGTCGAAATTATATGTCATATCGGGAGAAATTCAAGAAAACGCAAGGAGACGCCCTTAATTGAGAAGCACTTCGCACGTGACATTGCTAATTCTGTTATCAATTCCTATTCCATAGAAAACTAGGAACATAAAGTACTAATATAAGGAATGCGCATGCAAAAATGAGATTTCCGCCTTACTTCTGAATGTTCAATGTTACTAATGTTCAAACTTAGGGTATATAGTTGAACAGAGAACTGTCCGATAATGCAGTTTTCTTCCAGGGAAAATACATATTTCCAGGAAATAAAGCAGCATTATAGGATAGTTCTCTGTTCAAAAATCCACCCTTAATTTTTTTCGCACCTATGTTTGGACACTCACATAATAGACACTATTGGATGCTATGAGGTTTCGAAGAACAATATCTTTATAGCACTCATACCTACTCATATCGTGCTCCCAGCCAAAAATAAAAGAAATATCCAACTTGTACAGGATGACAATTCTTAATGTTACAGATTTTAATTACTCGCCATATACACAATTTTCAACGGAGAACGTTGAGTGACACATTTCCAGTAAGCTTGTCTCGTGCAGTTTTATTTTGTTTCGTTGCTTGTTAACATGAGGTCAATATTTGCTAGAGCAAAGAGTGCGGATAGTGACTAAATTCATGGAGACAAGGTCAAACTGTGGGAATGTTGAAGTCAAAACGGAGGGCATCTTGAACATATTTTAGCATAATTTCAGAATATTTTGTTAAATTTCTTCGATATCAATAAAACTGCAGAGCTTTAGCCTAAAATTGAGCAATTCATCATTAAAATCAATAATAAAAAGGAGAGCTTATGAAAATCAGTAACACTGAAAATTGTCACCGTGTATCATTTAGGGATGATGAGCGAATTACAAGGCCTGCCCAGCTTTACTGTACGAACATTGGCGGTTTTACTCTATGGACAAATGATTCTATTCGAGATGAACAACAAAGTCTTAGTTTACTTGTGTGACTAAATGGAATCCAGTTGTACTAGACCGCTCCTTCAATGCTACATACACATTTAAACCACACACCCTTGCCATTATCCTATGGCAAGTATCCTAAAGCGGAGCATGAACGTGGAATGATGGAATGGAATGATATGAAAGGAAGGCGTTGGGGCACCTACGCCCCTTTTCCAGGGACTTTCTCAATTGAATATGAAGTGTTAGTGGAAATTGGGCAAGCGAGCGGAGTCCCACAGGACCCTGTCGAACAATTGCTTATGGTTGTCGTTTAGATTAGCGATTTAGATCGAGACCTAGCGATTAAAACAATTAAATTTGCCGAAAACTCGAGATGGAGGGATGACAGGGCAAGAGCTAAAAGGAATTTAGAGCTTTCAGACCAGAGGAGTTTGGGTTTACTTCTTAACAGCATGCCCATCTCTCTGAACGTCTTCGTTTTGATTAGAGTTAATCAAAATAATCTGAAAAAAAGGGCACAAGTACTCGAGCTTGCTCGATAAGGTGCATGGTTTTCAATCGATGTCATGGAGACCAACTAAACACTTCAAAAGCCAAACTCCAATACACTGATCTGTCAAGATGTGACTTGGACCCTTTTTATTTGAGCGCCATTTTGCATTCTGATTGTTTCCTGTGATAAGATGCCTTGAGTTAACCCTCTAAACATTAACTAATGTTTGTCCATTGGTTTGGCACTGAGAATATTGGGCTCTCACGATGCTCTGTAATTTGTCCCAGGCATACGTCTCCGGGTCGTTGGGATTATCTGGTTCGTAACGATTCATGAAATCTCTGAGTTTATCATCCATGAGCTCCACGACATTCTCCTTGAAGACAAATCCCAGAATGGCGACAGTTCCAACCCCGATGAGGGCCAACGATGTCAGCACGGCGTACTACGAACAATAACAAGGGGAGATATGAGAAACGATTTCTTTCATCATCTCGATGGAGGCGGTGAATGACGGTCATACGGTCATGAGGAGACACGAGGATTCCTTGATGGCTCCGCAGCATCCGAGGAACGAGAAGATGATGATGAAGATACCGACGGTGATGACCAGGATGGCTCCAGCCCTGAACATCTTAGGTTCCAAGAATTCCCTGCCCGCAAAATAGTCATCATCCGCCAATGCCACTATCCCCACGATCGTCATGATCAAGCCTCCGATCTATTGGGGATACGCATGGACAAATGTTTAATAATTGCTCCTTAAAGAAATTACTGAATTGTTTGCAAGACGAATAATTTAAGCAAAATTAACGGCTAATGCCCCATTCCGAAACTGGAATCTAGTTCGAATTTGATGGTAGATCGTGAAAACGGCTACCGGCCACAACCTAAGTTGCATTCCCGTATCTCTCGATGAGTTCGCCTCGTAATTTCAACTGGTGTCATTTGGACCAGTCATCAGTGACCTCCGATGTAATGTATTTGACGAACATAATGAAGTTAATATTACGAATGAATCAACATATAAAGGCTGCAACAAACAGCCTTCAGCAGTGACTGAAAATCCCATTAGCCAGAGTCTTGCAAATTCTCTTCTGATTCTACAAGCAAAGTATCGGACGTGACATTTCATGAAACGTAAGGTCAAAATCACTTGCTCTAGTGGCTACATTTCTGTAATGTAAATGGAAACCCACGTTAGTATTATGTTCATTCTACAGTATACTGCCCTCTAAAAGTCTTGCAAAATTTTTCGTGACCAATATTAAAGCTTAATCCTAAAGCATTATCTGAGGAAATATTTATATTCTCAGACAGCTTAATCTATTACCTTTGCAAATCGCCCTCTCAAGTCATAATTTAGACAATCGTTTGTCCAAACCTCGCTTCAGAATTTTGTCTGCTTCAATTTTTCAGCGTGGAATAACTAAAACCCATCCTCAACCGATTGTTGGAAAGCCTACGGGTAGATTTTTGAACAGAGAACTACCCAATAATGCTGCTTTATACACTCCTCTTCCTGCATGCCATGCAAGAAGCATGTTTTCACTATGCACCTCAAGGAAACATTCCTATCGGAGTCCTCCAAAACTCTTGCCACTTTTTTTCATGATATTAAATCTCGGGCACAATGACTCCCAGCTCAACGGGTGACGCCCCAGATTCCTTTAACTTTAAACTGATTCGTTTTCACAATCGGCGTCTATGGTCCCCTATTCCCATAGGGGACCATTGTGTGATAGGATTAGTTTAGTTTAAACGGATTCGATGCATGTCACCCAACTTGGTTTGGGTTTGTCGCATCGTCTCTCTCCCGGATATGAAAGGCAAGTCATCGGACTCAGTACATTCACACTAGATGGCTATGCTAGACTGTTAGGTTCGTGCCTCACCAGGAATCCAGCAGGAAGAACCTCAAAGAACGTCTCTTTCTTTCTACGAGGAACGTTCAAGGCCCCTCCCCCCTCCCCTTCCCCTCCCCTCATCTCCATTCCCCTGTGGACTTCAGGGGGTGACCAGCAGATATAAGGGGAGGAGGTGACTCCTCCTCTCCACATCCCGCCTCCAAGAGACTGCCCCTACCCGGGGAGGAGCATCTTCGACGCCCCGAGGTCAATTCTTTTCAGTGGTTCCGTGCATATAGCTGTGGATGTCCTTTTTTCTGTCACCCGGGAGAACTCTTCTATCTCTCTGGTCAGTTGTCTTTATCTTGTTAACCCTTTGAGGCGAGGTGGTTACACGGTGTAACCACCTTTACTTTATTTTACATTATTTTCTCCCTGCCCTAGGAACGGTGATTTCAAGGCGAAACCACTTGTAATGGCTGACCACAGATCTAGGGGTATAATTCGAAACTTTGATATCACTTTGTTGGAATTGACAGGTTCTATGAAAGAAAAATTATGACATCAGAAATTGTAAATTCGTGGCTCAAAGGGTTAATGTGGTTGAACCATCTCGTATCTCATTACGGATCTCACGGGTACTACCATCATAATTAGAGTCAGATTGTAAGTAACAGCACCCACACACGGACACGTCAGAAACGCCCACACCTCCAAGGAACTTTTCCTTGCCTACAAAACCTCCCGCAGTATTACATTCAAATTCTTTCCAGGGTTCTCAGACCTATCTCTCCGATAAATAAAATTCAGAGAAAGTAACACGGGATTCAGACCTGATCATAGCAAGAAGTCCTTAACTTCGTAGAAGTTAACATCGATTTCCTCATGAAGGAATAACTTTTCGGTGACTGTAATTCCTCATTTTCTAATAAAACATGAGTTTATAAAAATCAGAAACTTTCACAATGGATAAGGGCTCTCTTCCCAGCCAGTGGAACATGAAACGTTTCAATAGGCTGAATGGTAAGGATTTCTCCTTATTTTCACCTTCCCTTCTGGGTCTTTTTTTTTTTAAACGTGGGCTGGGAAAAACACACAGACAAGGAAAATGCCACCAGTCTGAACATAGGAAAGGAGATCCTTATCAGACTTTCCTGACTGCATTTTCGCACCTTCCCACGCTCTCAGTCACGGTAATATGCGGTTTTTAGGGGCCCGCTCTGCTGAAAAACGCGCATCTTCTCGGAACCTATCAATCCTTTCCAAATCATAGTTTTCTGTTTGTCAGAGAGGATTTTGGAATTTGAAACGTTCATAGTAATTTGCGAGGTGGTTCTTCGGATTACTTCACAAGCTTTCATTAGGAGGTGGCAACGACATGAGATTCCGCATGCCTTCTCCTCAATGTCACCTATCCATACCTCCCCATCTCCACCTCAGCTTGGCTCTGATATTCACATCCCCACACCCTCTAACTGCTCTCAAAATCTTATTTTATTGTATCAACCCATCCCCATTCTCCAGTCCTTATTTGCACCTAAAACAAGGCTACTCCTAAAGTCTCCTCAGTGGCGTATTTTACGGGGGCAGAGGGGGCAGCCGCCTCCCCCCCCCCCCCCCCCCCCCCCCCCCCCCCCCCCCCCAGGGCGTTTTTTACGGGGGCGGGGGGGGCCCCCCCCCCCCCCCCCCCCCCCCCCTCCTGGCACCCCCTTGGAGGTAATAATTTCCCCACCTGGTATCACTCGGGTGGGGTTTGGCGCCCCCCCCCCCGACTACTCAGCCAAAATACGCCACTGCTCCTCCTGCATTCTGCAAACAATAACTTGTCAAAAATCTGTCTATGACTCCTACCACCAATCATGGAAAGACATTAGGAGAGGTTTGGAGTCATATTGTAAGTAACAGCACCCACATACGGACACGTCAGGAACGCCCATAGAGATGTACAAAATCACCATTGGGAATCTCTCTGCCACACTTCAGACCCTAACGAACTAGCTGAAAATATCAACACTAATCTGCATTCCTTCATCATTAAAATAAAAAACCATACCCAAACATATATTCCCAAGACGTAACAAACCAAAAACCCTTCATCACCAAATATATCCGCCAATTGATTAGGGGACGAAATTACTTCCACAAACTTGAAATTAAAACTAGATCTACAGATATATTTAAATGTTATTGTGCTGCAGTTAGAAAAACCATTAAGCAAAAAAAGTACTCCTACTATCAAAGTTTAATCAAGAAAAAGGGAAACAACCCTCGCCAGTTACGGACTAGTCTTAAATCGGCCATGGGCATCACTTGACAAACATTGGCACCCCATCAGTCCCCGAATGAGCTCAATATTTACCTTATTCAAGCAGCCTTTATCCTTGTAGAGCACCTCCCCAATATCTCCTCATCCTACCCTTACTTTCCCATAGCGAACTTTGACATCTCTCACATCTCCGAAACACTGTCCTACATCCTTAAATTACCTAGTAAATCCTCTTGTGGACTTGATGGTATCACTCCCACAGCACTAAAGTATTCTAGCAAGGCTCAGAACTTTGTCCAATTATTTACTCATCTCTTACTATAATGTCCTCCTCCATCTATCCCACGTGTTTCAAAATGCTAAAGTAATCCCCTTTCATACGAAAGGCGACCCTCGTGATTCTTCCGACTACCGTCCCATATCCCTACTGCCAGCCATAAGCAAAATCCTTGAGAGGCATAGGTATATTCAATCACCTTCACCAATTCCTCCAAGATACCAATACCCTCTCCTCTCACAGATCAGGCTTTAGAAATTAACACTCAATATACTCAGCTCTCATCAACTTCACTGACAACACCCTAAAAGGTCATGTCACAGGTGCAGTCCTTGTAGATTTCCGAAAAGCATTTGATACCAGAGATCATAACATTCTCACCAACAAATTGGCGATGTACGGATGTTCCTCTCATACTCTCTCACTCCTCACCCCCTACCTTTCTGACAGACAACAAGTTACCCAAATCCAAGGGAGTAGCACCATCTCTGACCCTCTCCCAAATTTCAATATCGGAGTCCCACAAGGTTCAATTCTCGGCCCATTACTCTTCATCTTATACATAAATTATCTTCCCCTGAGTATAAAAAAAACTGAAGTTGACATATGCATATGACACCACGATTTACTTTCCCCATCCAAATTCCCTGGTTGTTCAGGAGACCCTCCAAATTGAACTTCTCAATCCCCAAAACTGCGTTAACAAAATAAAATGCTCATAAATGTCAGTAAGACCCACTCCATACTCCTAGCCCACCCCAACAAGCTTGCATCATCCTCTATAAAATACTTGCTTGGTCTTACATTAAACTCTGAGCCCATCCAACCACTTCAAAAAGTCAAACTCCTTGGCTTAACCCTAGATGCTCACTTTTCTTATAAGGAACATTGCCTCTCCATCATTAAAAAAGTCAATCAAAATCTGTACCTCATTCGCTCTATATCTCCTCTAATCTCACCTAAAGAAATCCAACTACTTGCAAATGCCCTCATTCTCACCCACATCACATATTGTCTCCCAGTATATGCTTCCTGCTCCTCATCCAATATCTTAGAATAAAGTCCCAAATGAAAAAAATACCTAAGAATAATCCACAAATGTCCAGCACGTCACCCGTCCGCAATACTTCCACAAAACTCTAATTGGCTTTGCCTTGATCATCTTGCATACTTTGAAACTGGATCCCTATGTCACAAAATTCTGAACACACCCTCCCCATCCTATCTTCAAGTTTTCACAGCTCCCTCTCGCCAGCACAATACACGCTTTGCTAACGACAAAAAAACGAAGCATTCCCTCTAGTACAACCTTTTCCTTCAGTCGGTCTTTCCATTATAGAGCAACGAAATTCTGGAATTCACTCCCTGTTAACATTTGCAACATTCCTGTTCATAACAAATTCAAAAATAGCCTAAATTTACACCTACAAATTATGCAAGAGATCTCATATACTCAGAGTATTTATATATACTGTGGTTAATCCCCATAATGTGATTCACCTTGCCTCTCTGTGCCTCTCTCCCCAGGGACGACCAGCCTGCAGGCTGATTTCCTTTGTATATACTGTCTGTCTGCTGTTCAATGAATTTCTGTCCCAATAAAGGACATTATGATTATGATGATTATTATTCCATATCTCCACACAGCTATGATTTCAAGAATGTTGTTGAAGGCCTGAGGAGCGGTCTCTGGACATCGATAAAAAGAGGTTGAGTCGGGGAGAACTGAAAATATTGTCGGTGCATTCAGTGATAGTTATTGTGCAATTTTATTTGGTGGGAAGTTTCTCTCCCATGGCGGCTGTTGCAATGTAGTGAATCTCAGCAGCTCAACAGACATATGATGACGTCATTCTTGCCATAGATGACGAAAAGTAAACAGATACATGCTCGTTTGGAGAAAAAAAAATAGTTGGCAATGTGAAAAGTCGGCCAGAGTCAGAAACATCTTGAAAGCTAAGAAAACAATATAAAACAGCCTATTTAATTCAAAGGATTCAAAGTCTCAATCTAAATTGAGCATTTGTGCAGATCTAAGTTAAGCTTTTTGTTTACAATTTCCCCAAGGAGCAGATATATGTATTTACGTACATTTAGTCAAATTAGCAACACAACTGTTTTTCACGCTTGTGGACGTCGCCATTTCGTTAAACAGAAGAGCGATCTTCCCTGGGTCCTCTCTTTCTCTTCAACTACCATCATTTTGCTACGTTAGAGACGGAGCAGCAACGGATCATTGAACAAAATCACTCTGAAAGAATGGCAGCAACACTCAATAGCTCAAATCGTCCGATCCAAAAAGTGAGAGGGATGATTTACCAAGACGATGAGGTTGAAGGCGAAGAGGGTGTATTTGGGGCATGATGGAACGTTATCTGCTTTGATTCCCATCGCTCCAATCCTTGACTTTGTTCCTCAAGTGCAAAAATAAAAGGTTCCCACCGATAGAACGTGAAAGTGGATATGCGCTGGCGCGAGACAGCAACTCTTCTCTTATCTCTACCTGGGGGAAATCGGAACCAGGGCTTGAGATAAGGTGAGCAAATAGCCTACGAACAACATGCTCTCCTATTGATATAGTACACATGATAGTGTCATAGTCAAGCTTTCTCTCAGGTCCCTCCTCTAAATGTTCGTCCTCAGAAGTGACTCAGAAGGCAGGAATTTGTTTTTAAATGAATGGTGGATGAGTAGAAATAAAAGCCATATTGACGATGCGAATGCGAGACTCCCCGAGACAGAGATTTCGAGTCGTTGGCACAGAAACAGGAGTTCAAGTGGAATCCTGTATTCGCAATTATATTCGCGAATTTATATATAATTGTCTTCTCATTAGGAGTCATCCATTGAATCGAATCCAGGAAGATCTCTGTCCATGAACTCACATTATTCTCTCTTATGAATACCTTTTAGCGGTGAACGACATCTAAGCAAAACACAGAGCAAATTTCGATAGCGACGAACGTGAGGATGTCACAAAATTTTCGCTTCTGGAAACTCTCGAGGGGATTTGAAGATTTTCCCTCCTGTTCGTCCTCAGCATCACAAAAAGAATCGAAACCGACTTGAAAGGAGTGCAGCGTTCATCGAGAGTCTTTACGTGGAGACTCAGATGCACATTAGTATGTGTCGGCAATAGAAGGGAGAACTCGGGGGAGTGAAGCACATTCGCAGTGTCTCCGAAAGGGCACGCAAAAACGTCGAGAAAGACGCGACGGGTGCGAGTAGCACACAAAGAAAATGACAGGCTGAAATAACTCACTGTTACCTGAGTGCGTAGCTTGGACAGACTCTGAACGACCCTTACCTCTCCTTATCTTATCAGAAAAGGAAATAAAATATGACTTTCACATACCATAGGTCTTTATGGGCCTCAGCTAGGGTATCTCTGACGTTAGAAATCTTTGCCCTCCTGCCATACCCTTCACAGTAACACTCATGACAAGATCTCCATCATTTGTCCCTGTTTAAGAAGAGAGCAACCTCGTATTTTGGCTTTCACTCTGTCTTTGAAGATGGCTCATGCAGACTGCCGTGAGACTAAAACCAGGTTACCCACTGTTGCGACTCTTGGAATCACTCGTTAAAGGCATACCGGGCATCCATTAGAACTCGCAACTCCAGCAATGCTCCCTTAAAAAAGTGCATTTTCCTATTTAGCCTCAAGGTTCTGCAGCTATCCATGTGTTTCACGGTTTACTCTGAAATTATTCCTGATCGAACTCCTAATCTGATAAAATCTCAAAATATTCTGATGTTTAAGTTTCCGCGGAAAAGTCTGGTCATTATCCTTCGGAAGGTCGGGATATATGAACCTTTCAAGGTAGTCAAGAAATTTCCTGGAATAGCTCACGCTACTCAAATCAGGAATCTTCTGATAACCTTTGATGATCAATTGATCATCAAAGGTTATCAGAAGATTCCTGGCGAGCTAATGTAAAGGTCAAATTAGGAGGATATTCATGAAATGAGGTGTTGGTTGCCAAGTATGAGAACAGAGGATGGATGTAGCCGATTCCCAACCATGGTTCGGATTCAAGAATGGATATCTCAAGGAAGTCTTGACAGGGTTGCTTCTGCATTTGCAAGATGAAATTGACACATTGTACTGGACAAGCACATGGGATCGCTAGACTGTAGTGTCATTTTGAGCCTCAGGATATAGAATTTGGAGTACATAAGGGGATTGCATAATAAAATAATGAATACATTGACATCAAACTACTCTTACAATATTCCAATCCATTTTTGCTTCGAAACGCTGAAATTAATTGTAGTTTACTTTAATGGTTGTGTGGAGTCCATTACCTCATAAATAACCTTGAAATTACGTCAAAAGAAATGTCGTACTTAGTAAAGAAGAGCTGAGCAAGTGTGAGATGTTTTTGAAGCTCTTCTATCGATCAACAATATGACAACTGAGGCAATAACATCAAAATTTATTGAGCGAATAGTGGTCAGAAGTTCATTATGTCATGAGAATGGCCGGGAGGGAAGATTGGATGGTGGAGAGGACGAAAGAAAGCCAGGGGACGACCGGGAATTGAACCCGGACCTCCTGATAACCGGTCCGGTGTGCTTCCATTACACCACCGAACCCAGGAGATTCCTTCCTGCCTCTCATTGACATCCTTATCTTTACAATTACACAATTAATAATAGTGTACGCGATTTCTGAACATGTAGAATTTATATTCCTTGTTGCAAAGAACTCAGTACGGCAAATGGCAGCCCTTTTTCACCAAGAGCCCCCAAATCGCCCAACCCCTTCCCAGACAATCATTGCAAAATTAGTGGAAAGTTTCAAGGAAACTGGCAGTGTTACCGATAAGCCACGTACTGGACGCCATATTCGTTGAATAGTAAATGACATCGGGATAAATTCGGCATCTGTCCACTACGTCCTCAAAATTCCTCAATTCCATTCATACAAAACTCAGTGCCACCACGAGGTAATAGATGATGAATCGGACAGACGGAGTGAATTTTGCGAAGTGATGATGGAAATGGTGAAGAATGACCCGATGATTCTCATGCGAATATACTGGGTTACTGCTTGTCCGTCAACGGGGCTCATTTTCAACATTCCAGCTGAATGTTTGGTGACAGGAGTACCAGATAAATAACCATTTATTTTTGCGTTTCTAATTCATACAAGATTCAATGAAGCAAGAATATTTCTATTCCAAAAGCACTCATTATTTCACAATGCCCTATCCCTATGACCTGTACTCGGATTCTGAAACACTTTGTATGATAATATCGCCGTGTCTTGTTTGGCTTGCTTGTTTCTTTGTCCGAGAACTCATCCTCGTCCGACTATCGGATCCGAATGAAGCGGGAATTGTTGGAAAATTATTGGAAAATCTCTGAAAATTCGTCTCATTTTCGTCGCGTTGCGACAAAATCCGAGGGATGAACCTATTCAATATTTCCATTTAATGCTTGGCGACTGTTGGCAGCGAGCACGACTCCCGCGATGGGGGATCCGGATTCGAAACCGAGGGAGTCGAACAATAATTTCCCTTCTCGCATTACCCAGCGTGTTCGGAAAGGCAGATCTGCGAACACTCCACACTCCCGTCTCGAGATGTGCGACGTCAAGGAAAATGTCGGTGAAGACCCAATCCGAGCACATCCACGAGTGATCCACAGTCCACAATCTTGCAACCACGGGTTCGAAATCGATCTTGTCGAGCGGTTTTTCTGAGTACAGACCACGGCGCGTTCGGAAAGAGAGACACCTGAAGAATCGGCTCCATCCGAGATGCGGCATGCTTAGAAATTCCAGTGGTGAAAGCTAGCTTAACATTATAAGGGATAAACGAACCATTATCAATGGGCTAAAATCGAAGGACAGACTGAAGGATAGAAATGAATTAGGTAACAAGGAAAAAAAGCCATGAGAATCAGTAGATTCTGTAATATGACAATTCAGCTAGTTTTCTTCGTCGGGATCATCCCAATCAAGATTTGACTCAGCTGCTGATCCAATGAGTCAGAAAGGGGGGAGAGGTGGAAGGGGGGAGGGGTAGTTCTCTCATATTACAGAAAGAAAAGGACTGGGCGCTCAGATTAGAGGGTAGAGTCATTTAAGGTACTGTCATTTGATCGGGTACTACAAGAACTCCGGAAGGAGAGTCGAAATAAAACGGGAAAAGCTGGAAATTTTTATAAATACTTTTTCGAAAACTTGTTAAACATGTTTAATTGAATCATTGACATCGTATTAATCATGAATCATTTCTTTTATGCCATTAAAAAAGGACTTAGAGGACTTGGATTGGCGCATGCCAACATTTGCATTGGAGGCTCTCGGGAGAGAAAATAGAAGAGAGGGTGAGCAAAACTATGTCGAGGCTGCTAGGGAGGCAGCTAGGGAGGCAGCCGTCCCCTCTGACTCAATAAAAATCGTCACTGCCGTAGTGGCACTTCCTATCTCTGGATAGATACATTCTGTAGTGGCACCTCGATTGATATGGGCTGGGTACTGAAAACATGTGATGCCTCATAGTACCCAGACTGTCCGCCTCTCAATGTACAGGACGAACCAAAAGTCGCACAAAATAGTTTTCCTTTTCCTTCTCGAGCAATATGCGTTCAAAATAGTGCATTTTGCATAGACAAAGATACGTAACAAGAATTCAAGGGCTGAAAGGGTAGGAATTTGCGATGCGATATGCAAAAATTGAGGTCAGCCTACGAAGAACTGCCGAAATGGATAGAGCGCGTTAAAACAGTACCTGGAATTTTATGAAGCGTTCAACGTTCATGTCTCAGTCTCACCGAGACATGCTTGCAAGGAAGTAGATGTGAGTATTTCCTGCAGTAAAAGTAACATTCCATACATTGCGCGACACTTGGTTCACGAGTGTCAAGGTGCGTAAGCAGCTCTGAACTTTGTTCCCAGGGTCTATGAATGATCTGTTACGCTCAGTGGAGCCATCACGGAAACAATCCTCAGCCTCAGGTGCCATCAAAAATTGAGGCTTCCTGATGATATTTCATGCATTTACAGCTACAGTTCATCAACAGGAAGACAAGGGATTGGGTGCTCCGTATCATTGAAAGTGGTGAGGGGGAAGGGAAGGCAAAAAATTGCCCCCCTCACCAACAATTTGAGGGATTCGTTTCCGTCTTCGTGAGAGCGGGCAGATCCTGAAAGAATTCTAAAAACTATTTTGGCACCCTCCTTTTCTCCACTCGGGAACCCTCGTGTGCATATTAAAAGCAGTGTCACTTGATGTATGTGTAAGTCTAGCTTAAGGCGGAATAAAGAGTGCAAGAGTCAAGAGTCAAGTCAAGTGCACATCTAAAGATGATAATTAAAAATGGAACTTGAAAGTTGAGGACGTGAAAGGCAAAGCAATCCACCGAGAAAGTGGAAATGCTTCGAGAAAAAAAACCGAAACATAAGAATATGAAGTGACTCGATCTTGACGAGCTCTAGTGACGTGACCGCAGCCATCCCTCCTCTTCCTTTCTCAGTGTGTATCTTCTCATTCCTCGGAGAATCACT